TTTGTTTCTGCTCCTCAGCATAATGCTGAGCCAAGGCCAATTACAACCACAGTACACACACATTGCACACTTGAAGCGAACCGAATGGCAATATGGAATTTTAAATTTTAATTTTTAATTTTTATTGTTGTTAATATGTTTTGTTTTTTTCTTTGAGTATTGTTATTTTGTCTGTGTTCGAAAAAAAAATTGTATATGTCTTTGTCTAAAGGCGCCCATAGAAAGAAATCCATTGGTGCACAGCGGGGATCGAACCTATACCTAGGGATAAGAGTTGGGGGGGGGGTTCTGGGGCGGGGAAGCCATCTTTTTTTTTTTTTTTTTTTCGTGGGGGGAAATGCGTTAATACCCTCGTGGCACGGTTGACCTGGGGGAAGGGTTATTCGGACTCGCACTGCATACCCACTAAATCCCACGGGCCACCAGCAATCGCCCGGGAACAGCAGGGGACACGGTAACAGCGTGGCCTTGTCCGCATCCAGCCGGTCAGCCGTTAGTATAGGTCCTCTACGGCCACGTATGATGTGGAATGGACCTTGGCACAGCAAGGGCCTTTCACATCGGCCAAGTCACCCCTGTTTATAAAGCTGGGGAGGTCGGGCAGGCGGGGCCGATGCTTGCAGGATGCATCCCTCTCTTTCGACGATGGACCCCTGTTCCCCCGCTGGAGCAGCTGCGCGCCCAGGATTACACACGGGGTTGCACGGTGCAACGCGGCGCTGTGGCTCCTACGGCGACGCGGGTGGGCTGCGGTTCTCCTGGCCCTTTCCGCCTCTTCCTTTTTGTGCATGAGCGGCTTCACAGAATCTCTGGAAGATCCACATGCGGTCCCTGTCCGTGTTTATAACTCTCAGCAATGGTGGGGGGGGGGGCTCCCCCCCCTCCGCGGGGGGGGGCCGGTAAGCCATCAGGCCAACACTGCTGTATAAGATAATATTAAGTTCATTTAAAATATGGTTTTTATACCTGTAATTTTTAACTGGCTAGTTTAGTTTCATTTGTTTTTTTTGCAAATATAGATATAATACTATCTTAAGAATCATCAAACCGCTGTGTCTGTCCCATTGGGATTTGGGGTCATACTGCAATCGGGTCATTTTATGCTGGTGATGCTAAAGTATAATTGTCTTTTATTGCCAATTAAGCATTCGTGGTCAATATGCTTCATGAACTGCATCTCGTGATACACTGTCGTATCCCATTTAAAGAGTAAGTTTTATTTATTTATTATTTTACATAGTAGTTAGTTGGCAAGAATTGTTAGATGTTAGGAGTAAATTTTGAGTTTTCCTACTAGAAGAATTCCCAAAACTCAATACCTTGCCAAGTTGCTTGCATACTGACTGATCTAGTTCTTCTTTATGTATCTCGCTGACGACGTTTTGAGTGGTAAACGCCATTGAAAAGTCAAGTTATGGTTTCATAGATTGACTTTTTATTCGTACTAAAAGAAGTTTAAGTCTAAAGATTTTGTACCTTTTGCGGTTATTCTGATCATTTTGTTAGCATTTTTAATTTTTACCAATTTAACTATCAACGCATATTACATATGACAACATCTATGTTTATTACAAGTATGTATTATTAATAATCCTCAATACCTATAGAAACAAAGTGGTTATCCAGTCAAAAGACTCCTTAAAAACAATTATGACGCAGAAAACCACGTAGAACATTTTATTAAAATGCAACATAACAAAGAAAGAAAAATGTTTTTCAACAATTTGAATCTCGGACCTACGTAATTCGAAAGCAAGTTATATAAATGAGTTAATAATATAATTAGTTAGACTTTTCATTTTAAACTCTTTAATTAACAATTACACGATCAGAATCATCTAGCCGATAGATAATTATTTGTTGATTTTGTAAAATATTACGTAAAATGTTTCATAACAATTTTGATATAAATTGTATGAATAACAAAAAGCCTTTATTTCCCCCTGACAGATAAAAAATATTGTTAATAAAAAAACGAAATAATACAATCTGTCCTGTTAAAATAGTATACGATGTTTATTATGAAGTCGGTTGTATACAGAAATTATCGGTTAGTCCCGAAAACATTATGTAAAGTATGACAAAGTTTCGCTCGACAATAGTGTTCCCTCGGGCCGGCAATAGGTCTGACCCACGACAATTTGTAGGTGTTATTATGTATGACAGTTGGCCTCGCCTCAGTGCGCCGCGATTGACTACACGGGAGGCGTCACTCGTAACCGTTCGAAATTTTAAAAAATTCGTGCGTTTTTGTCTATGTCACTGAAAAATTGGCGGTAATAGTTTTCACACAGTCAACTGTCAATATTTTGTGAAATTTATTTATTTTTAGTGATGCCTGATAATTGTAGTGATTTTAAGTTAAGTGTAATGTGTTGTTAAAATTGGTTTACCCAGAGACATTGTACGGCGTTCCAAAAATGTAAGTTACAAACATTATAAAAAAATAATAATGCTTAAAATATATTCTCTTTAAATGAATCAAGACCTGTTCTAAACCAACTACCTATTTAGTAAATAAATTTGCTATATATTTATCAATAACTTGGTTATCAATTATCAATAGGTCAAGGCTTTGCTACTTTAACCTTGTCATACAGGAAGAATGCATTTTATTACTAAGAGTTTGAAATATCAAAGTTCGATTATAAATAATATTCTTAATAGCAATTTCGATATCTCCTTTCGAACACACCAATGTGTTAACCCGAAATCATCTTGAAACGAAGCGGTTACTTGAGCCAATTTAGCAGCATTCACCGACCAGATACATCTGACCTCTCGCATTCAAGTCACCCCATGTGACAAATACTAAAATAACCCAGCGGGCTAGTTCAACTTACACTGACCGTGGTTCAGCCAACGTGCCGTTGTGTGAGTCTACTGATTCTACGCTTCCGCTCTATACCCTATGCTGAAATTGAGCAACGTGTAAAACGTGCTTTAAAATCATAGACAAAAGGTTCAATGTCAATTGAAGTAGAATTTACTATGCGAGTGGAAGATACTTTTAGGGAAATTACGTTGGAAACTAGCTTTAATATGCAGTTCTGATGAGTTCGATAGACCATTAATTATGCAACAAAATTTATGAAATTCTGACGTAATAATGCCACACCTATTAGGTGAAAGCTTGAAATTTCTTTTCAATTTTATTTACTATAGCCTTTAACCCGCTTACTGGCTTAAATATCTATTCGGTTCATTTTGAATAAGTAAACAAAACTGATATATTAAATTTTTATAATTATAAAATCGACATCCAGATTTTGAAAAATATATCATGATAATGTTTCCAATTTAACACATAATGTATAATCCAGAGGTCCTAGAATTCATATCCGTCAAAAAAATATTGTTTTGGGTTAGTCAGCTTTGAAGTCCCATAAGAAGTCGCTGCTGCATGAAATATAAGGCAGAAATAAATGCCCCATGCCTCATCAACGTGTTATGGAGCTTTAAACAGGTTGACATGTGTCTAACAGGATATTCAACCTGCTCAACCTAGAGGATTGAATTAAAATAGATGTATTTCTTATATATATAGGACAAAAATTATATGTCGAATTTTGCACTATATGATGTTTTCGGAACCGACCTTTGACGCGATAATTGCTCCACAGTTGGACTGCCCTGCGATTCTGTAACTCACTTTTCGAACTCACACAGCGGTTTTCGCATCGGCGGTCGCTCTCAAATTAGTCGTGAAGCAGTCATTTTATGATTTTGCATTCTGAAAAGGTGGAATCTTGTAGTTTATTGTTTATCAGAATGCCCAATCATAAAATGACTGCTTCACGACTGATTTCAGAGCGACCGCCGATGCGAAAACCGCTGTGTGAGTTACAGAATCGCAGGGCAGAGCACAAAGACAATCCAGTGTTTCCCAACGTTCGGCCCACGCCCCAGAGGGGGGCAATTTGATTGACTTTGACATAACTAAAAAAAGGAATTTCCTTTTAAAATAATAGAACCGACCCTAAAATGTACTAAAAGTATATCTTATTTGTTTTGACTACTTGTATTATTAGGAGAATTAAATGTATTAAAGGATTCACATTCACTCAGTCTCAGGCTCTGCGACGCAAAATGTCTTGGCTTGATATGTTATCTGCTATAGCCGAAAGCCAGAAATTGGCGGAAAGTATTAAACGATAATTATTTATTATACGTACGCTACAAGTCTTTTTGGCTTTGTGCCAAGTCATAATAATCGAGTATCGTTATTATTATTCATCGCTTTTGACTACCCTTTCGCTTAATGTTTACAAGCGTATTTGTAAAGCGCTTTACGACATATATTTATTTTTCTTATGTTATCAAATTTATTTCCAACAGTACAGTACTTACAATATTTTTAACCTTCATAGTAGATCAAGAGCCAGGACGCTTGTTAAAGAGCTCTGTCGTCCCATACAGGTAAGAACAAGAACTAAGAGTGGGTAGTGGTACTGGCAGATAACAGGTAGTAACCTGTAGGGGACACGCAAGAAGAACTTTCAGTTTTTATATTGACGAAGGTCTGGTTTAATAAAGAGGGGCTCTTAATAAGTAATAATAGAAGTAATTAAAACTAGAAAAATAGAAAATTAAAACAAATTTAAATAGTTTGGTCTCTATGGCAGTGTACCTTTAATGCTGCTTTAATTGCTCACACTAACTCCCCTGGGTTTCGACTCCAAATAAGTAACTTAGCCTCCGAAATAAGAATCTTCCAGCACTGGGAGTCTTGTGCTGGCTTTCAGCTGCAGCAGCTGCATTCTGTCTAGCCAGCGGTACCTAGGCCTACCTACTGGTCTCCGACCACTAGGCCGGCTTGGGTAAGATATCTTCGCTGTATTGCAATACTTAAAATATACACCTATACATAATACTTTTCTAATATCGCTTAAAAAAGAAAACGAATTTTATAGATCGCATACTAATTTGCGTCATTTACAAGTGAGTGGATAATTTTTGATTTCTCTCTAATTACAGATAAATGATATACATAGAGAAACATGGGCTTACGGCAGAGACGAGGTTTATACACCCTACTTACATTCATGTTATATGGGATAGCTGATATTAATACAAGTCTACCTGTCGATATAGCATCTGAAGAAAAAGGTGAATTTAATTGTATTAAAAAATAGTATCTCAATTATTAATACGTCAACTAAAATCTGGCGCTACAACCTTTTACGGTTTGGGCCTCAGACTATATCTGTTTTGTGATCATTTTTTTTTCTAAGAGGCAAGTAATTTTGTGCCTAACACCCTGTCAAGTATGGGTCTGAAGCCGGTTTCCTCTCGATGTTTTTCTTTACCGAAAGACATCGCTAAATACGCACACAGAAAGTCCATTCGAAGGGATTTGAACTACGGCCTCAGGGATGATCGAAACCACTAGGCTGATTTACATTTACAATTTGAGTTAAAATTTATTTAATAAGTAATGCCAACACCGTTAAAGTTTATACTTAATTATAAATTTTAAGTTGATACCTCAATTTCTATGAAATGGATTTTGAATTGACTTTGTATTGAATGAATTCTCTAGTGAACGAGCCAGTTCCAATATTTTAAATCAGCGTCTAGAACTTTATATTATACCTCATAGTCCCTTTAAAACTATGAGGTATATTAGGTGAGGAAACAATTAAATCCGCCTCCGTGGGTCTTTCAGTCAAGGGCTTGTTTTCAATACGACGAAACACACACACAGAAAAACACAAAATAGTAATAATAATAATCAAAAAGAAACATAACAAAATATATATGGAAAAAAAAGGAATAAGGTTCATTTTAAGTGTGTAGTGTGTGTGTAACTGGCCCTGGCTCAGGATTATGCTGTGGAGCAGACGTTCATTCTGAGACAACAACAGTTAGTTTGCACCTCAGACGCAAACTAACTGTTGTTGAAAAAAAGAAAAATAATGATAGTAGAAAAAATAATAATAGTAAAAAAAACAGTGTAAGTCTTGGAAGGTTTGTGTGTACAAGTACATATATAGTAAATAAAAAATAAGAATAATTGTTACTAAAACAACTATGTATTAAGAAATAGATAAATAAATATTTTTGTGGTTTAAAAACTAGATTTCGTAGGATTTTTGTTGAATAAGTAATTAAGCAAGTTTATAACTGCGACGACAATTTGATTTTAATTAAGTTCCTTGAAAATATTTGATTTGTAAGAGACAAATCAAAAGGACAGAGTCAGTAAAAATTCTTTACAAATAATTAATAAAAAACCAGATCACCCGTTCACGTCGAATATGATAAAAACTAGTTAAAAGTTCATTTCAATAGATTAATGTGACATCGTAAATATATCATTTATCTTTATTAATTTATAACATACTTTACTTAAATATACTAGCTGACCCGGCAAACGTTGTTTTGCCATGTATATTATTTCTAGAAAACATTGTTTAGTTCAATAAAAATAACTACATAATATCTACTATAAAAAAATAGAGGCTGATCGTAGAGGGGTGAAAATTAGGGGTTGTAAGTATTTTTATATGTTGTATCATAAAAAAATGCATTTTATCCAAAAAATAAAGTAGGTATAAAATTTTGGGGTGGACATCCCTTATCACTTTGGGGTTTGATAGATAGATAGTTGCCGATTCTCAAACTTACTGAATATGAATATAAAATTTCATAAGCATCGAAAGAAGTATGGGATCGAACATTGTGACTTAGAGAATTTTATATGTATAATATACGTATAGTACCTTTATAATAACAATAAATAATAATCTATTTATTTAGTTTAATTATGTTCAAATATAGTTGTTCAACCAACAACGCAAGGTCAAACATCAACATCGCCTATCCCAACAACGACAATTACCACCACCTACGCAACAGCCATTCCGCCAGTGCCGCCCAGTAATAGAGATCGGTACCTGACCTTCGCGGAGTCCGGTCATCATCAGACCTTTATGTTCGCCAAGGATAACACATATATACAGTTGGATGGTGATATTATACAAAGATTTCAGTTAAGGTAATAAATATATTTTGTATTTTGAAACGTTACGAAATTTAGATTAATGACCTTGAATATAATATCTAGGCTAATTGAAACGAAACTATGGCAACCATTAGGAAGGTCGTTTCATGATTACTTTAAATTTAATAGTGTTTTTATTAAAAATAAACACAAAATACAACCTTTACTGAAGTATTTTCGAACGAATTCGACTTAGGGTCCTTCGAGAAAAGAGCGTTACAATTCTTAAAAGGCCGGAAACGCACTCGCGAGCCCTCTAGTATTGAGAGTGTCCATGTGCACTTATAGTATCATTTAATATCAGGTGAGTCTCCTGCCAGTTTGCCCCCTGTTCTATAAAAAAAAACATGGATCTCAACTTTAAGTTGCAATCACCGTCTCTGTCTCTCTGTCAACTGACTTTCAGTGAGCCCATACAGTATACTGTCTTTTACCGTCAGCTACACCCATTTTACATCAATTGAGTAATTATAAAACTACATATAAAAAAAAATAACATCAAATTACAAAGAAAAACAATTTTAAAGTTATATATCAGTTAATATCCTATGCATTGTCTTTGAATACAAAAAGTGATTTGATGCTAAGTAATATGTAGAGAATAATTATTTATAAGTAAAACACTGGCTATCTAGCCGAAATCTTTCTTAACTGAATTTTTTGCTATTTTGAAATAATATTTTTAATTATTAAAAAGTCTATATTTTTTATTGTTTATTTCAAATACTTCCTAGTTATTTTTATGAAAATTTGGTACGAAGACTCATTGCGAAAAAAGGGCACACTTTTCGGTATCTTTTTATAATAATTTTTCGTTAGGCGATTACCTAATCGGCTTTAGCTTTTGTGCCTGAAGAAAAACTGGATTCTAATTTTCCATTCACTGCAAGTCCCTTTCTAGTTGCATTCTTAACCACTAAGCTTCGTTATTATTATTTATTAATTATCAATTTGCAGATTATGTAGAGAAATATCATTTAAGTTTCGTACTAGACTTCCGCATGGTCTTTTGGTGTATCATAATGTTAAGAACCCAGTCTTCAAAATGCAGCCATATGCTTTGTATGTCATAGTGGAGAAGGGAGAACTAAAAGGTAAATGAATACTCCAATAATTTATAAACGCTTGTGTCACATAAACATAATATAATAGCGGACCCGACAGACGTTGTCCTGCATGATATTTCAAGCGATTAGGATATTAAACAAAGTATGAAAGTAACGACTGCAGCGCCATCTGTCGGGCTGATTTGTGAATCTAAGCCATCCAAAGCGCCACCCAAACGCTGTATGTGTTTCTTTCTTTTCTTTAAAGAATTATTCAAATCGGTCCACAGATTAGTGATTACGTATTTAATACATAATAATACAAAATGTTCAGTGAACTTTAAAAATCAACAATAAATTCCAATCAACGTATTAATAATTTAGTATGTTAGGTAAAATCAAAATAATATCGATGCGATTTGAAACTATTTACTACCGTCATATTAGTAAAAATTCTATAATTTGTCAAACAGTTGTCATGAATGTATGACGAATTCTTAATCGCATTATTTTTTTGATACAATATATATATTATAATATGTATATATTATTAGTAGTAGTAGTATATAACTACAATGCATTTAAACTATAAACCGTTAAATTAATATGACACGTAATAGAACCTTGCTTTCTGATTGGTTGTAATAACCGAATGACGACGCGGTGAATAAGAAGTTCAATAAGGTCGATCGAACCGTCCGTCAAACTTTAGGGTAAGATTCAGAAATGTATTGCATTTTGACATATGGAAGTTATAATCTAATGTTTCTGAATGTCACCTTAAGTCTTCGGGTGTCATTATTTTGACAGTTTCCTATTCAGTTATACATAAAGTATATATTTTCAGTGGTTCATGTGTTCGGAAAGCACCTCACTTCAGTGACAGTGGGCAGAGCTCTGAATAGGGACCAATGGCATAGTGTAGTTGTTACTATAGACGTGCATGGAGCAAGGCTTATAGCAAAAGTCGATCATATGAAGGAAGAGGTGTACTTGAAGGTAAATCGTTTAATTAGCATGTACACCAAAACTTGGCGATTAAATGAGTATCAGCGAGTTTTTGGCAGTTCCTCTCGCCCGCTTGATTTAGGAACCGGTAGTTAATTATTGATTAGGTATTTTAAATTTTACTTTTTTAATATTGACGTTCATAAGTGCACGTATATCATTTGGGTTTCATCTGTATTTTGTTACCGTTAAAGTTTTGATTACGTATAGAATTCAAAGAAAAGGATTTTAATTTTAAATTAACAGTCGTACTTAGAGCCTTCTATTAAATTGTCTGTAGTCATAGTCTCGTATATTTAAATATCTGAATTACCTATATACGAATTAAAAATCATAATTGTTTAATACAACAGAATATATCTCCATATCGATTAGTTTTATGGTTGTATGATGTTTGTTTCCTTGATATTTTGTCTTAATAAAGACTATAAAACGAAAAAAAATCTTCGTCGAATTTATACGGACTATTATATATGTATTTTTACGGACTTAGCTTTTGCAAAGTCCGTAAAAAAATTGCGCCGGGGTCCGAACGTGTCCGAAGTGTCCGAACGTGTCCGACCGATCTACGAACCCAGAGATCGGGTTGTAGATCGGTCTGCAATGTATTAGTTGCTTAAATAATTGAAATAAAACAATTAAAATAATATTTACAGGGACTCAGTTTCGACACGAACTATGGCATTACGGACAATCTTACGTCAGTGATTCTCATTGGAGGTAAAAATAGATATAATTCTTGCTTTTTCCTCAATACAGTCACGAGTTTATGCTTATTATTCATATTTTTGATTTTTATCTTTAGTAATAAAAGATAATTTTTTTTTTATTTTTCCTTTTCATTTACAATAACGACATAAAGACAGTCTTTGTAATGCATTTTATGTATCTAATATGATAATAATTGATGATATGTAAAATCTTTACATACATTATACATTATTATATTATTTCCGTATAAACATTTATATTTGACAATTAACCGTGTTACCCATTGTTCACTAAGCACCGCTAGCAGGTTTTAATGTACTTGCAGCGCCATCTAGTTTCTTACATTTCTTGAGATATAAAGTAGTTTATGTGCGACCCTCAGTTAACCCCGACACAAAATGTGTACAAACAAACAAATACGCTTTAAAATTGTTATTATTTTAATATGTGCCATTAGTTTTTTTTAAATTTAAGATGGATAAATAGTATAACAAAATTTAAAAAAAAAGTTTGCGCTTCATTAATCACATTAACGCTTCACCGACCGCATCGCTGCAGCCGTACTATCACCACCACTTCTCTACCAGTCACCTTATTCTAAAAACCATAAAATTAAACAATTTCCAAAGAAAATATTCAGCATATCACCTTAAAAGTACCCACATAATTTTCAGGTCTAAGCTCCGAAGAGAAACTCCACGGAGTAAAGTACATAATAGAATCGTTCGTCGGTTGCATCAGCGATATGGTATTGAGTTCTGGTAAAGCTGCCTCCGATCTCCTCCCAATTGTACCGTTAATTGCCACAAAACATGAAAACGTTAAGGAAGGCTGTATTAACAAGTGTAAAACTGTGCAAAATTTGTGCTTCGAAGGTTCTAGATGTATCAATGAATATAACGGATATAGGTGTGATTGCTTTGGGACGTTATATGAAGAGCAACTGTGCGATGTTTATAGTAAGTATTTGAATTAATTATTATTTCGTAAGATTATTATCTATTATATTTTATTGTATAAAACAGTTTAATATGTTTTATTGAGAGTAATCTGTATAAAATATGGCTTTAACAGTAAATTTTAAAAATTCATTAATTAAAATAAAGACTTATACGTCAGTCACGTGACACAAAACGGTCAAAGATTTGTCAAATCGACGATGGTGTTGTAAATGGTCTTCGCCTGTCTAATCCTAATACTTTGAGTTTAATTACGCCGGAGACTGTTTTTGAACGAAAATAATATATTATGTGTAATTTAATAATGATAAAAATCACGTAAAATAACATGTTTGTTTACGTGTTTACAAGCCTCGTACGTCACTGGTACGACGCCATCTTTCCTAGAGGCGTTATAAACGTGTTATTAAAATGATTAATGTTTAATTCGCTTAGCTCCTTCTCTATCTTCCCTTAAATCTCTACTGTACAAACATAACCTGTCCGTCGTATCCCTAACTTTCGTACTGGTGTGAAACTGATCTAAAATTATCATGATTCATGTGCACTTTTTCTTTTTCATGTGTCGGCTTTTTAGTATTGTCCTGATCGCTGTTTACATAAGTTTTAATTGCTTTGTTTTTTTCCATTAATTTTGTCTAAATAACTATATGTTTTATGTATTTAGAAACTTCTTGCTTACCTTATCAAATTTAATTTTTTTTCTCACAGTGTTTTCCTGGAAGAGATTGCTCGAAAGCGATAAGGCCGACATTTTCCCTGATTTTCATAAAATTATGTCAATTGTTTTTCTGCAATTAAGTGTTAATAAACAATAAAAAAGGTTAGAACTTATTTTAACCTATTAGAATCTTAATCTAAATCAATTCCAAGACTAAAAATATTAAGATAATAATAATAGTCATTTTTATTTTATGTTTGTAACCAACAATATAGTGTATTGGCGCAGTTATAACTGGACTTTCACTGTAATCATAACCGCAAATTAAACTAATGATATTTAAATATCGATAAGCCGGTAGATAAAGGTTGCGCAAAGTATTCACGACAATATATCGAGTTACGTGCGCTACCGGGTATATGACACTATAAGATAATAAAGGAATATATGAGTAAATTGTCATTTAAAATAAATAACTTACGAATAATAATAAAATATTTTACAAAGCGTTGGTCATTTAAAAATTATTTTGATTTCATTTTGTTCAGATTTCTGCATATGAATAGTGTTGCATGCGCTTACATATTTTTTTCTGGCAATTAAATTTTAAAAGAAAAGAGAAATAATATTGGAAAATAGAAGCAAAGATGAGAGACAAATGGAAGAGTTCGGAGGAATACAATTATAATATACAATATACATAAACTTACAGGCTTTACCAAGTTAAATATGAAATTGAATTTATATAAAACAGATATTAATTAATTACGCAACGTATTGCAGCGGCGACAATATTGACATTACGTGGCTCCAGTTACGTGTCCTATCGGGTTTATGATTGGAAAGACCGCGTTCACTCCACCAACACGAGAATCAGTCTGCATTTTAAGGTATTATTAAATTATGTAATTTCATTTTCCTTGCTAATAGTCTGTTTTTAAAATGTCCTACTATGCCTATTAGGGGTGATATCCTTCTGTATTCCGTAAACGATGACGATGATGGCGTTGTAAATGGTTTTTGCCTGTCTAATCCTAAGATTATTTTTGAACGAAAAATAATATATGTGTAATTTAAGAATGATAAAAAACACGTATAAATATTTTTTTGTTTACGTGTTTACGAGACTGCTACGTCACTGTTGCGACGCCATCTTGCTTATTAATGTTTCATTTGTATTTTTAAAGACAATACTTAACAAAATTATTAAGTCATGTAATTTAATTTTCCTTGCTAATAGTCGGTTTTTAAAATGTCCTACGATACCTGTTAGGAGTGAGATTATTTTGTATAAGAGTTAAAACGTTCAGGGATTTTAGTACATATAATATCGAAATTCAGAGATTTTTTAAGCTATGGTGTACCTTACAAAACTTCTCTTAATACAACAAAAATAATTTAACTAATTATTTTAATTAGTAATTTATCATTTATGTCAATGTAACGCTATAAAATTATATTTTCTATTACTGTTATCTTCGTAAACAAACTATTCGAGTACCGCAACTGACAAGTTGCAATTATTATGATTAGTTTCGCGTCCTCCTTCAAGCCACAGTGGCACGCACCTGTGATCTGTGACTTGCAGTAATTATTCTTAGGTTATTAGTTTTAATGACACATTAAAAATACTTGAAGAAATATTTCCCGAGGGACAGATACAAAGGCTATCACAACAGCCCATCGACACACAATTTAAATAATTGGAGGTTGTATTTACTAGAGAAGACCTACATTATGAGAGGATTGTTTCTAAAAATCTTTTTTAATTGAGTAGTATCAACACATTATGTTAATCTTAAATGTCATACCCAATTTATTGCGAAGATTGGAATTCCTTTACATAATTGACATTTGGCTCGTAAACTAAAGATTTAGTACTTAACTTTATTAGTCTTAAATGTCAATTTCAATATCGCGGCCATTACCTTTCAGACACGTTTCGATGATTCCGCCCTGTTTTACGCAAGCGGTCAAATCGACGATAAACATCATTACATTGCACTATCAATACATCAGGAGAAGGTCGCTATACAAATTGATCTAGGCGATGGTCCAGTTGAAGATTATTTAGGTGAAAAAGTCAATAACAATAAATGGCATAATATAACCATTGTTGTACAAGAAAAAATAGTGTTTGCGTATCTAGATGATATTATTGCAACATATGAAATTCCGGGCGACGCTAAATTCGTTTGTATCGATCCAGAAATCTACATATGCGGCGGACCTGATTTGTATAAAATGAAAGGTTTAAAATCCTTTAACAACTTCGCTGGGAATCTCAAATACGTATATTATAATGATGTATCGATATTATATGAATTGAAACAAAATAACCCGAAGGTGCATTATATTGGGGTGTTAGATCCTCTGTTTGAGGAGATGGACGTCGAAGTGATACCTATAACGTATCCATTTGCAACGTCTCACATATGGTGGCCTATTAATACGACGTACAGCGTGAATTTAATATTTGACTTCAAGACCAGTAAGAACATGGCTGTTTTGGCGTATAGTCAGATTAATGGGCAGGGATATTTTGAGGTAAATTTAGATACCTTTAAAAATATTATTCATATAATAATAAGTCATTCTTTAACACATAGAGATATCTTACAACTATAGAACTTACCCATTGACCGACTCGTAAATATTAATTCAGATAGTAGAACAATTCGAATCCCCGACAAAATAAAATTTTGGTCAGCAGACGCAAAAAACTGAACACCTACTTAACGGAGAATGCATACTTATAGAATGAATATAATAGAAACTGTGTTGCTAAATGCTCCATAAAAAAAAACACTACTCCGAGCGAGTAAATTGCGCACATAGAAAAGTCCTATTATGATTCGAACTCACGACTCTAAAGTTGAGGGTCGCGCGCTCAAGGCACTTGACCACAAATCACTATATATTAAAGTTAAATGTTTTATTATAACTAGAATCAGGATCATAAAAATAAATCAGTGGCGCTACAATCTTTTTCGTTCTGGGCCTCAGATTTTTGTATCTGTTTCATGATCATTTGTCAATCTAATAGGCAAGTTGGTGATCAGCCTCCTGTGCCTGACACACGCCGTCGACTTTTTGGGTCTAAGGCAAGCCGGTTTTCTCACGATGTTTTCCTTACCGTTCGAGCGAATGTTAAATGCACACATATAAAGAAACTCCAGTGGGGTACAGCCGGGGGTCGAACCTTCGACCTCAACGATGAGAGTCGCACGCTGAAGCCACTAGGCCAACACTGGTCACAATAATACCTTTGCCTTAAAATGCTTTTCAATACTAATAAATCAGATGAAAATCACACAATCTTTAGTTTTATATGTAATAATTTAAAAGGTCAGAATGGTGAAAGAAGAAATACGATTTGAATTGGTACCAGATCTAGGTAAAAATGTGACCGTTTTGAAATCAGTGAAATTCAATGTTAGCAACGATTGGCACAACGTTGAACTTGATTATAGGAAAGGAAGAATCAAGCTTACCGTCGACCATCTTAATAAACACGCGCAAATGTTTGGTAAGGAATTTATTTGATCTTTAACTTAAGTAATGTTTTTATTATTTTCAGCTTGCTTACATCAATTTTAGTGTACTGCCTCGTATGGGGCCTTATTTATTTATTTCATTAAATTAACATTGCTTTTAGTTCCAATATAAAGATGTTCGTCGGAAAAATAATTTTTAATGTATCTAAATATTCCGACGAATATCTTTCAATAATTATTTCCAACACACAAATAAACAGTATTTATTTTCTTAACCTTCATAATAATAATAATTAAATTATTAATTAGTTAATTTTAGTATTAATTTTACTAGTATTTTTTTAATATTAAATTTATGCCCGATTAGTAAAACGAGTGTTTAAGGGCATGAGTATGGGTTAATCAATCTATCAAATCAAATCAAAATTCGTTTATTCAGTTTAGATGCGTCCAGTGCCGGATTAGCCACGTAGCAAGAGTAGCAAATGCTACGGGCCCCGCGAATTTAGGGGCTCCGCGCTCCAACGCCTGTCTAATCGAAATAGAAAAGTATTAATTTAGATAGGAGCGTAAAATATCTTGCATACCTTTACGGCAAAGCGCTTAGTGTATGCTTCACTTCCACATAAAAATAAACTCGGCGTCGTCAAGTTTAATCGTAAAAATAAGTAGGTATTTAACTTTTTAACGTTAATTTTCAAATTTTAATTATAATCGATATATTTAGACTAGCATGTTATTTGTTCCTCCCTTCAGATTTTTATTTTTATTTAGGTATACATTTATTTTGCGAGTTTACGTAGTCGAGACTGTACTTTAGCAGAATTTGGCAGAATTTGTTACAGGCCCCGCGCTGGCTTATTCCGGCACTGGATGCGTCTTAGGGCATGCTTATGAATGTCAAAAACGTTTACAAAATTCGCGAAAGAGCAAGACCACGCCATCTGTTCGCAAAACTACCAGGAGGCCTTGTTCTGAGAAGAACGGGCAAGAAACTCAGCAAGTTTTACTCTCCCTCTACATTTCAATTATTCAAAGGAAAATGTCATAAACCACAACGTCATTAATACAGGGTGGCCAAAAAGTCGTGGATCAAACGCAAATAGGGGATAGATGAGGTCATCAGCGGCAAAAAATTGTTCTACGGGAGGTCTCTAAGGTCCACCCCTGCAGAGTTATGATTTATTTTGGTTTTTATATGAAAATTGACTTTTTTTTACTAATTCTTCTTAAAATTCGAAAATATCTATATCCTGTATCTTTCTCATATTATCCACTAGATTGGTACTGATGAGTTCTTGCGTTAGACATACTATTTATAGTTGTTTATTGAGTGTATTCAAGATAATATTAAGTGATACGATATAACATTTTTTCAAGTCATAAATTTTTCTTTACTTTGGACCCCACTGTGAAAAAAAAATTACTCCACCGAAAAGTGTCCCTGTACTACAAGTTTTGGCGCATTTAATAGGGATTCTGAAAAGGTATTACACGTGGCCATGAGTCGCTCTTATATCTTTCTAGGAAGAATTACAAACAACGATTGTGAAATAATAATTGTATTAAAACAATTATTTCTCAATGGTTGTTTGTAGGAAACAAAATATTTTACAATAAAATATGCTCAAAATTCCTGACTCTGACCATAATACTTAATCTGTAAACAAATTCCTAAGTATTCCTCCAGCCATCTGTCCAATTCTTTGAATCTAGTCCGATTCACACAGTACTGGTCACAGGTAGGTAAATAATCTATCATAAGTCCGAATCGTTGTTGTTTTTTCCTCCTAGAAAGATATTAGAGGCCTTATGGCCATGTGTAATACCGTTTCAGAATCCATATTAAATGCGCCAAAACTTGTAATATAGGGTCACTTTTCGGTAAAGTAATTTTTTTTCACAGTGGGGTCCGAAATAAACAAAAAGTTTTGATTTGAAAAAAAATTATATCGTATAACTTAATATTATCTTCAATACACTCAATAAACAACTATAAATAGTATGTCAACGCAAGAACTCATCAGTACCAATCTAGTGGATATTATGAAAAAGATACAGGATGTAGATTTTTTCGAATTTTAATAAGAATTAGTAAAAAAAGTCAATTTTCATATAAAAACCAAAATAAATCATAACTCTGCAGGGGTTGACCTTAGAGACCTCCCGTAGAACAATTTTTTGCCGCTGATGACCTCATCTATCCCCTATTTGCGTTTGATCCACGACTTATTGGCCACCCTGTATAATAATTAATACATTATCAACTCTGAGTATGACTTTAAAAGGGTTATAATTTAATGTTTGAAATAATTTAGTTTTATTTCACAGGTTTAGATTTTCAGTTACAAGATAAAGTGGTTATAGGCAGTGGATTAAAATCAGCTAACCTTGGACTTATTGGATGTATGAGGAATATTAAAATTAATGGACTCCTTATTGAACCGAGGTGCGTAAATACAACTAACGTGTATAATTTGATAATATTTCGTGCATTTATTTAATAAATAGCATGATATCCCCATATTTTAATATAGAAGAGTTAAAAAGTAGGCAAATATAAGGTGTCTATAAAATTCATGTTACGAATTGTAATTTTTCACAGCACAACTTCTACTATGGCCCTCTGCCGAAACAAACAAATTTTTAGATAATTTTAAGATTTATCAATACATTTTTAGTAAAAATAAATCTTCAACAATTGTTAAGAATCTACCTTAAAATAACTGTAGTATAACAAATATATATAAACAGTTATTACATAAAACCCAGAATTTACATTCAAAGGCATACATAAAGTACCAATAAGGAATTAAAGTTAAATATTTCCATTCACAAAATTATGTTAGCGATAACGTTATTCCCGATACAATCTGGCACATTGACGTAGATAATTATAATTCAATATCGCTATAATTGCTGTGTGATCAAACAGAAATTTGATTAATCACCTAAATAAGTATCCCCCAAACTCGATAACGTGAATTTAAACGCAAATTTGTGTTAACACGTCGAATTTTAAGCCTCTTTTGGGAATACTAATATCAATCGTAATTTGAAACGTGTTTCCAAATTATCTGGTCTATTTGAATATATGTTTTGTTTGACTGATTATTTCTCTGTAATTTTTAAAATCTAGATTTTTGTTTTACTTCTTTTGCAATAGACAAGATTTTTGTCTGTAGGTACTTCTATTGTAATAGACAATCTTTATAGGTTTTTGTTAAAACACTCATATTTATGTGTTTTTAGGAGGTTTTTACTGTAAACTCTCTCTGCGAACATATAAAGATGTCTATAGTGTCTGAGACAGCGTTCAGTAGGCCCAACGTCTTTGTTAACTGTCATCGATAACGATAATCTGTGCAATAGACTGGTTCTGGTCCTTGGTATACCTCTATATCCCTTACGTTATACCTCTTCCCTTACACGGAAAATACTTAAATATAGACTATATCATGCTTGTACCTTATTTTGCTGGCACTCCCATATAATGGTGAACCACACGGTGCCTGCAAGAGTGTATAATTTTTATTTTAAATTTGTCATTGGTGGACTATCCGTTTGCATACATTCTTCAGATACATTCTGTGATCGGGGTGTGTCAACTGGGGCAATGCCGCTTTTGCCACGTTCGTTTTCTACTCTATTTAATACCAGAATGCCCCATACGCCGGACAGTCCAGCAGCGTGTTCGCTATACATATTTTTGTTCAGTGTTGTAATCGCAGTAGCGTATTGGCCAGGCCCGAGGTTTAAATCTGTGTAGGTACTGCGAAGAAGGGCCATAACCTGCATATACAAAGAAAGACCATTTGTGTTCAGCCAGGGATCGAGCCTACGACCTCAGGAATGAGACTCGCACGCTGAAGCCACTAGGCCAACGCTGCAACACTGAGTATTTACCTTCGGTAATCTCTTTATTTTTGATTACTTAGGTTCGTAATAAATACAGAGCGCGTAGTAGGCGAAGTAGCAATAGATGACTGTCAATACGTAGACCCTTGTACCAGACCCAACACATGCGAACATGGCGGCATTTGCTCTATACGGGAAGATAGAGTTATTTGTAATTGTGATAATACGGGTAAGTTTGGATGAACAATGAAACAAAAATGTAGGATAAGTAAAATCTGACCATAATTTTTTCAATATATAAACTCAACACTCATTATTCATGACGAGAAAGAAGAAACAATCTATAAATGTTACAGATGACATTGTTTCTTTATGGACTTTTGTGTAGGTATATATAATCAACACATCAAGTTTCTTAAAGAAAGAAAAAAGTGTTAGTTCCACCCATACAATATGTGTTTAAATATGATTGTGATGTTAAACATCAGCGCTATGGATATTGAGAGAACGAAAATTGCATACTAAAGCGTCGGGACCGGTATAATAATAGTCAATCTAGTCTTCAGATTAGATTAAAAAATATTCAAAACATTTTAGGTTATATAGGTGAAAACTGCCATTTTGCCACATTCAGAAAGACCTGTGAAGAGTTGGCTCTACTTGGCTATACAAGGAATGATGTGTACCTAATAGATATTGATGGTAACGGGAAATTTCCTCCGGCTCACGTCAAATGCGAGTTTCAAATAGAAGCTGATTCATCTACTACTGTCGTAGAACATAATCTACCAAGTCAGGTGGTAAGTAAAAAACCTTTCTGCTAGTAAATTTGAATTTTTGAAGTTATACTTCTTTAGGCGCGTTATAAAAAATTGATGAGAGTGAAATTTTACGATGCGCGCGCACCGTTACATAAAATTATCAGTATGAAGCTGCCCACTAACGAATTCTTTTTAAACCAGCCGGGCGCCGAGCGTGCGCGAGCGAGATGGGAATAAGACAATCTACAAGTAAAAAGAAATAGAATATGCGTGAAGTTAGCAGCTATGCCAAGAATTTTGAATGACAATAATGACCTTTTAGTACCTTTTAAACAAATAAAGGAGTTTTAATTAATTTTTCAAAGAAACTTAGCAATGCTTTTTCACAAAGACCTATTGTTATTTTAATCAACGTACTGTTAGGATAGTCCCAGTGATTGGGTTTAAAGAAAAAGAAAAATACGTCCAGGATACCACTGAACTATAATAAGCAATTACGATGTGAATCCCATAAATAGTAGAAGATGTGTGAAGTTCTAATAAATATTAGAAAAGAAACCAACAAATGTGTGTCTGCGACGGAGGCTGATACCGAATGGCCTTAGTATTTTATAATCATCTTTAGATGGGAAATGCTGACTTAACAGAAAGTAACACTCTCAGCCAGGTACAAGGCTCAATTATTACAGTGAATAGTTACTAAAATGAATAAATAAAATACAATTTTAATTGTCTTAGCAAAACATTAATACACCAATATAATTTTTGCCTCTAAAAGTAGGTATATAAAATGTTAGATGTTCCTTAACAAAAAATAGAATTTGAAATTTCTAAGAGAAATAAAAGACTAAGAATTTAATAGTTAGTATTTAATTAGTTAAATAAAACGGTTTTTTTTTGCATCTATATCGCATTTACCATGTGAGAGTGTTCAGAGGAGGTATTCGGATTAATACCTACAGCTGCGTTTCATCATCGGACGTAAAATTCCACCCGTATCATCTCGACGTCCGTCGTTCCACAACTAAACGTTATTTAAGGCAGTTTTCGCCGCGCACCACCACTATGTGGAACCAATTCAACTTAAGGTCCTTCGAGAAAAGATCGTATCAATTCTTTAAGGGCACCGTTCTGGCGAGCCATCTGTCATTAAGAGTCTCCATGGCCGGCGATATAATTTTACATCATATAAAAATAAGATTTACTGTGAAACACTAATTTAAAATAAATATAATTATTTGACATTTATCTTAGATATGTGGCAGCCATCTAGCTTAATTAGCCGTTCAATTAACTAATTAATTTGAAAAGAAATATTGTGATAATAATGCCTCTACCGTACGAATGGCCTAAGCATTAGCCAGCCAGTTTATTAAATGTTGTAACAAACGCTTCGGCTGAACATCTTTCAGGCCGTTAGTTAAACAGCGCCGTTTAGTTAAACGGCTAGGCTGTTAATTGAACGGCTGATTAAGCTAGTTGGCTGCGACAGATACATAAAATCACGATATTTCCATATTTCAGGATGTACGGTCAGCATCCGGCCAAGATTTCAGTTTCATAATTAAATACCGAGAATTCACAGCTGAAATGTTGCAAGAATTAATATCCCATTCGCTATTCTGCCGACAGTACATAAAGTATGATTGTCTGAAGGCACCCCTGGAGTTACATAGTGCAACTTGGTTCATTTCCTCATCGACTGATACCGTTGATTATATAGGCAATGTCAAAAGGTAAGATTAAATATTATTATTTAAATTTTAATTAAAGCTAAGTAAATCGAATTAATTTAAAAAAATTATATAAACAATATAATAATATATAATACTAAACAATAAGCGTAATAGATTTAAAAACTATTCTTCTTCCTATCCGGTGCACTCTTGACAGAGCGGTCGTGATCGCTATGAAGTAGTGGTAATAGAAGGGGCAGATGTGATGCGCTTCACGACGTTTCGCCATTGTTGCCTATTAGAGGTCATCCTGCTGCACTGATTGAGTGAGTCTCCTACGGCAGACTTGATTTGGTCAGTCCAACGCGTAGGTGACCTTCCGCGCGGTCTAGTGCCTTCCACCTTCCCTTGGACGACAAGGCGTTCTATGGACTGATGACCACGCCGAGATACGTGACCGAAGAATGTAAGGATGCGAGATTGTACTGTTGCTGTTTTCAACGCTGCTTAATACCGAGTTCTTGAAGTATCGAGACGTTTGTACGAAACTCGGTCCACGAAACCCCAAGCATTCTCCTCCAGCACCACATTTCCAGAGCGTCTATTTTTTGCTTTTCCACATCTCGCAAGGTCCACGTTTCAGCTGCGTACAGAAATATGGGGAATATAAGTTTCTTCACGAGCCTGGTCTTCGTGACTTGTTATATTACTGTTTCTCCATATTCTTTGCATCTTGTCCATCGCCGTTAAAACTATATGTTTGGTTAATTGCCTGTAATATGACTTTTACAGATATATATAATACAATTCACTTAAACTTCTCACACAACCTCCAATGCATACTGACTTACAAACATAAAATACTTCTAATTGTTTTTTTTTTTAATTATCACTAGTATAACTCCATAAAGCCGTGTTTTGTCGAGATTCAGTCAAACACCCTATTATTATCTTTATCACTGCTTTAACTGTTTTTATTTTTATTTGAAATGGTTTACGTTTTTATAATGCTCTTTCCCAAGAATCAATTTCAACTGTTGTTTAATGTTTTTCAAGTAATTAATTTTTTGTAAAGGTTTTCGCTGGTTTATTCTCCAAACTTTTCCATTCGGAAAGGTCATACAAAAAGTATCGGACCGTTATCCGTTTAATCACTTACCTTTCTCATTATGTCGGCTAAAACGAGGGTTTAGTAGAAGGACGTTTAGAGCTATCATCTAAATGAAGAGTATTTGAATACTTTAGAAATACATTTTCAGACAATTTTTAGAGGGTTTCGGGTTCAAAGGTACTGGAGACTAGTCAGATTGTGATTAAAGTAATGCGTTACAAATCGTCATTTTGTATTTTTTTTATATTCATTTTGTTTTCCAAGTAAGAAAACGTGTACCATAATGACTCATTCTTATTTCAATCATGCTAGTAACACGAAAATAAATAAAATTTATTACGTAAACGAATAAAACCAAAAACTATTTATTTAATATTTAATGCTACGAACAACAAATCTACCTAGAACTACTGTAGATATTTGATAAATATGTATATCTAAATGATAATAATTAAAATAATAATAAAAACTTTATTTTGCTTGACAATTGACTTTGTGTCGTGGCTTTGTTTTACCGTCTCAGTTGAGTAGAATTTTGTTTTGAGTTTTATTAAACATTTCAAATTCCTTATTAAGAAGGTGACCTCATATGATATTTCATTGCTATTTTTAAACAAGTTTTATACAAATCACTGCATTTTGTTTGAATTATTTTTATCTCGTCATGCTTTTAAACACTCAACACGTCTCAATAAATATACAATTTTCGTACTAAAACAATAAATTAAGAAGTTTACCTCCACAACATACGTCTTGGTCTACTTTTTCTTTATATCGAAGATAATAAAAAAATTCAAATCATTCTCCGACATCAACTAATCTCACTTTTATTCTCCTTGATAAATTTTCTTGCCCTTGGTTGGGCCTTTGAACCACCAAGGCCCACTCTGTAGCCAAACCAATTTTCTTTACAGTAATCCATCCGATTTCATTACTGAGTTTCGTATCATGTAATTATTTTGAAACATCAAAGCTACGGATATTAAGACAAAACAACAAAGTTTCCTTACATGATGTCATTACAGTGAGAGCAGTGATGGCTTAGTGGCTTAAGTGAGTGCACATCATCCCTGAGGTAGTGTGTTCGCATCACGACTGTTCAATTTAATTAATAACTGATAAAAATATTTCACAAGTATCTTTCTACTTATCGTAATTTTGTTTCATCCGCTGTAATGAGGATTAAGTTTTAAAATTTATGTTTTTAGATTCAATATGCGTTTTTTTTTACTGTTAGCCTGTGCTTTTTTCCTTGCTAGTATGTAATTTCTATTCTTATTTAATTTCAAACTCAAAATAACTTTATTCATTCATATAGTAACCATGTACACTTATGAACGTCAACATAAAAGATGTTAAAATGTTTCTAATAATAATAATAATAATAATAATTGTTGTTTGATTTTAATTGTTTTACATTTACTACCAGTTCGCAAGTCAAGGGCGTACAGCGATCGAAATTTGTAACGTCATAATTTATTGTATTTTTTAAGCATTTAGCTCTGGACTCCGTATAAGTTAGCGCCGTATATGTGCTTTTAGGTTAATATTAATAAAATTAATATAATTAAATATTTCTAGAGGATACTGTCCATGCGGTGTTAACGCAACGTGTGTTAATCCAACGCAGTCGTGTAACTGTGACGCGAATGGGGACAAATGGCATTCTGATGAAGGGACCTTAGTGGACCCGAAGAGCCTGGGTATCACGGAAATGTTCTTCTTGCAGCAGAAAGACCTGACCGAGGAAGCGCAGGGTAGGATCACGTTGGGACCCTTGGAGTGCGTGGAAACAAGTCAGTAATTAAATCTATACTTATAATATGTGAATACTCTAGAAGTTTTATGTCGTAATGACATTTTTTTCAGGTTGTGATTCATTTTTATTATGTACCGTCTCCGCGCAGCAAATCTTCCGAACTTCAATACCGAATTTGATATCGATTTCAATATTGTGACTTTTGCACTTAAATAATAATCTGCGCTACGTGTTATAAAACTACATTTTGAGTATAGTATAAAAACAAATTAAAAATCAATACTCAAATTTCTATAAAATTATTATAAATATATCCTACTTCTTTCTTGAACATAATACTTCCTTACTTACAGTATGCCTGAAGCTTCTAAGTTCAATACTAAGCAAAACAATAATTCTCTAAGAAAAATGTATCACAATCAATCAAAACCGTTTACGACGACATAGTTTAGAACAACACACCGGTTATATTGACCAAAATCAAAGGTCCCGGCTGAATTAGGCACATAAATATTATGTATATTAGGTACTTAATAACGACGTCATCGGCTGTTACGACTATCGGTTTTTACGACCAAAATATGAGTCGATGTCGTTATAACAGATTTTGACTGTATAATGTATATTTAATGAACGTATTTCAGATACTCAACGCTACGTTGTAACATTCACGACCTCGCAATCCTACATCGAAGTCCCGGGATGGAGGAAAGGGGATATCGCATTTAGTTTCAGAACTACTGGGACCAGCGCTATATTATTATTCCAACCACCTATTAGACCTAATTATCCTTCATTTATGGTTGCCCTAACTAGTGGTAAGTTCTTCAAATAACTTAATAGTTCTCAAGAAATTTGATGTTTTGTCATTATCACTCTCGTGCAAATATATAATAACATGACAAAATATTATATTAATGTGTACCTAAGAACGATATAAGGTTAAATTGATTTTAAGAGATTGTTAACATTTAATTCGTGTTTCTGACGAATATAGGTAACACAAGAAATGACTAAATAATGTATGTAAGTAGCATCTTAAAAGCTCGCAAGTGGCTAATTTTGCGTATTTTTTGTATCGTTATCAGTTCTGTTGTTATTCAAACGATGACAGTACTAACATGATATTATGCACAATGCAGTGGTGCGCTACGATTACCCTGTCCCCATTAGGAATAATAGCGATCGGGTGTATAATATCAACAGCTAATGTTATAAAAATATTGTTTTGGTTTACGCGAGAACTACACTGAATATTGCCTGTGTGGTACAGATCAGAAGATCGATTATTATTTGTACGATATTGTGATTTATAAATTATAATGGTGCGTACGCAGTCCCCACTACCATAAAAAGCATAATCGCGGAGATCAAAGAATCCGTTGTAATTTTAATTCTTTAAAAGGAATTTAACTAATTATTACAGATTTTTCATTTTTGTATCTACTATTATTGTAATAAATTCATAATTAATTTCCAGTTCAGTATAAGAGAGAGATGTTCTAAACACAATAATATAGAGAAATTAAGAGGGGGACGGCGCGTACGCAGTCCCCACTACCAAAAATTACGCGTCCGAGTTATCCACATTAGGGATAATCGCAGAGGTCAACCCATCCGCAGTGCAATGAATGAGTCTCGCTCTGGGGGAACCGCCTTATTGATCACGGTGTCCCCTACGCCAGGTAAGTATGATTTTCGAAAATCACTGAGAATACATATCGTAAGCCCCAAGCATTTAGGAGGCGCGTGTTATAAATTTTTTCCTAAAAGTCATAGCGACATCTATTCACTTGGCACATTACGCACTCATGTGGTAGTAACGCGACCCTAAATTTGTTTTAGTTTTTTCAATTCATCAATAGATGTCGCTATGACTGTTAGTAAAATTTATAACACGCGCTTACTAAATGCTTGTGGCTTACCATATGTATTCTCAGTGATTTTCGAAAATCATACTTACCTGGCGTAGGGGACACCGTGATCAATAAGGCGGTTCCCCCAGAGCGAGACTCATCCATTGCACTGCGGATGGGTTGACCTCTGCGATTATCCCTAATGTGGATAACTCGGACGCGTAATTTTTGGTAGTGGGGACTGCGTACGCGCCGTCCCCCTCATTTAATTAGAGTACGATATGTGTCTTGGAACATCTCTGCAAGTCTGAACTGAAATGAATATCAATAAAATTATAATTTAATTTTTATAATAGTAATTACTAATTAGTAGATACAAAATTGAAAAAACCTTAATAATTAATAAATACAATGGATTTTTTTACCTCCGCGATTATGCTTTTTGACGTTTTTGTGGTAGTGGGGAGTGGGGCTGCGTTCGCACCGTCCCCCTCTTTATTGATTATTCCTCTATATTATTGTGTTTAGAACATCTCTCTCTTATACTGAACTGGAAATTAATTATGAATTTATTACAATAATAGTAGATACAAAAATTAAAAATCTGTAATAATTAGTTAAATTCCTTTGAAAGAATTAAAAATTACAACGGATTCTTTGAACTCCGCCATTATGCTTTTTGTGGTAGTGGGGACTGCGTACGCGCCGTTATATTATTATAATTTATAAATCACAATATCGTACAAATAATAATCTATTGATTGTTCATTTTAACATAATTAAAAAAGTATTCAATCAATATTATAATGTGTCTGGAATTCAAAATATTTACGCAGGCTTTTCCGCGTAAAATCTGTGTCGAAAGGTAAGTAAAAACACGAACCATGAAATATTAAAAAAAAAAGTCTTGAACAACGAATTAAAAATTGTATCTTCGTTCAAGATACAAGTCACTACGGAGTATTATAAATATACTAAGGAGAAAAATCTAATATAAGATTTAAAGCTAAATATGAATGGTAGCCAAATAACTGTCTTACATTTCATTTTTTTAAATCTATTCACTTGGCACGTTACGCACTCATGTGGTAGTAACGCGACCCTAAATTTGTTTTAGTTTTTTCAATTCATCAATAGATGTCGCTATGACTGTTAGTAAAATTTATAACACGCGCTTACTAAATGCTTGTGGCTTACCATATGTATTCTCAGTGATTTTCGAAAATCATACTTACCTGGCGTAGGGGACACCGTGATCAATAAGGCGGTTCCCCCAGAGCGAGACTCATCCATTGCACTGCGGATGGGTTGACCTCTGCGATTATCCCTAATGTGGATAACTCGGACGCGTAATTTTTGGTAGTGGGGACTGCGTACGCGCCGTCCCCCTCTTTAATTTGTAGTACCATATATGTCTACAGAAATTAACGTTTAAGAATAATCAAAATCGAAATTAACTTAATGTCGTTTTGATAGATTTTAGGTGAAATTTGATAAATGCTGAGTGTATGCCTTTTCAGTAGCACATTGTAGTATTTTTGATGTCTTTTTAATTGTATGTAATCTTGTGCTGCTGAATAAATTTATTTTACTTTTAAATTATAGTGTTCCATTCAAACTTTGAGTTTTTGTAAAATTAACTGGTTTTATCATCCTTTCGATGTTTTACAAAAAAACATCAATGCATCGAGTATATCAATACATCTTCAAGGAATCGGATTCACTGTATCGCATTGTAAACATCGTTGTATATCGATTATCCCTAATAGTTCGAGGTCCGGGTTATAAAAGACCAGACATAATGTCGGGAGATGGCAGATAAAAAATCGACTATGATTGATTTTCAATTATAAAAATAATCGATTATTAATCGATTATTTTAAATATAAAAATCGCGTAAAAAGATTTTTACTTTTTAAAAAATCGATTAAAATCGATTTTTTTAATAATCGATTATTTTTTCACATCCCTACTTGGAACATCTCTGAAAGTCTGAACTGAAATGAATATCAATAAAATTATAATTTAATTTTTATAATAGTAATTACTAATTACTAATTAGTAGATACAAAATTGAAAAAACCTTAATAATTTAATAAATAGTTAAATTTCTTATAAAGACAATGGATTCTTTGACCTCCGCGATTATGCTTTTTGTGGTAGTGGGAGTGGGGCTGCGTTCGCGCCATCCCCCTCTTTATTGATTATTCCTCTATATTATTGTGTTTAGAACATCTCTCTCTTATACTGAACTGGAAATTAATTATGAATTTATTACAATAATAGTAGATACAAAAATTAAAAATCTGTAATAATTAGTTAAATTCCTTTGAAAGAATTAAAAATTACAACGGATTCTTTGAACTCCGCCATTATGCTTTTTGTGGTAGTGGGGACTGCGTACGCGCCGTTATATTATTATAATTTATAAATCACAATATCGTACAAATAATAATCTATTGATTGTTCATATTAACACAATTAAAAAAGTATTCAATCAATATTATAATGTGTCTGGATTTCAGAATATTTACGCAGGCTTTTCCGCGGAAAATCTGTGTCGAAAGGTAAGTAAAAACACGAACTATATAATAATAAAAAAAAAAGTCTTGAACAACGAATTAAAAATTGTATCTTCGTTCAAGATACAAGTCACTACGGAGTATTATAAATATACTAAAGAGAAAAATCTAATATAAGATTTAAAGCTAAATATGAATGGTAGCCAAATAACTGTCTTACATTTCATTTTTTTAAATCTATTCACTTGGCACGTTACGCACTCATGTGGTAGTAACGCGACCCTAAATTTGTTTTAGTTTTTTCAATTCATCAATAGATGTCGCTATGACTGTTAGTAAAATTTATAACACGCGCTTACTAAATGCTTGTGGCTTACCATATGTATTCTCAGTGATTTTCGAAAATCATACTTACCTGGCGTAGGGGACACCGTGATCAATAAGGCGGTTCCCCCAGAGCGAGACTCATCCATTGCACTGCGGATGGGTTGACCTCTGCGATTATCCCTAATGTGGATAACTCGGACGCGTAATTTTTGGTAGTGGGGACTGCGTACGCGCCGTCCCCCTCTTTAATTTGTAGTACCATATATGTCTACAGAAATTAACGTTTAAGAATAATCAAAATCGAAATTAACTTAATGTCGTTTTGATAGATTTTAGGTGAAATTTGATAAATGCTGAGTGTATGCCTTTTCAGTAGCACATTGTAGTATTTTTGATGTCTTTTTAATTGTATGTAATCTTGTGCTGCTGAATAAATTTATTTTACTTTTAAATTATAGTGTTCCATTCAAACTTTGAGTTTTTGTAAAATTAACTGGTTTTATCATCCTTTCGATGTTTTACAAAAAAACATCAATGCATCGAGTATATCAATACATCTTCAAGGAATCGGATTCACTGTATCGCATTGTAAACATCGTTGTATATCGATTATCCCTAATAGTTCGAGGTCCGGGTTATAAAAGACCAGACATAATGTCGGGAGATGGCAGATAAAAAATCGACTATGATTGATTTTCAATTATAAAAATAATCGATTATTAATCGATTATTTTAAATATAAAAATCGCGTAAAAAGATTTTTACTTTTTAAAAAATCGATTAAAATCGATTTTTTTAATAATCGATTATTTTTTCACATCCCTACTTGGAACATCTCTGAAAGTCTGAACTGAAATGAATATCAATAAAATTATAATTTAATTTTTATAATAGTAATTACTAATTACTAATTAGTAGATACAAAATTGAAAAAACCTTAATAATTTAATAAATAGTTAAATTTCTTATAAAGACAATGGATTCTTTGACCTCCGCGATTATGCTTTTTGTGGTAGTGGGAGTGGGGCTGCGTTCGCGCCATCCCCCTCTTTATTGATTATTCCTCTATATTATTGTGTTTAGAACATCTCTCTCTTATACTGAACTGGAAATTAATTATGAATTTATTACAATAATAGTAGATACAAAAATTAAAAATCTGTAATAATTAGTTAAATTCCTTTGAAAGAATTAAAAATTACAACGGATTCTTTGAACTCCGCCATTATGCTTTTTGTGGTAGTGGGGACTGCGTACGCGCCGTTATATTATTATAATTTATAAATCACAATATCGTACAAATAATAATCTATTGATTGTTCATTTTAACATAATTAAAAAAGTATTCAATCAATATTATAATGTGTCTGGAATTCAAAATATTTACGCAGGCTTTTCCGCGTAAAATCTGTGTCGAAAGGTAAGTAAAAACACGAACCATGAAATATTAAAAAAAAAAGTCTTGAACAACGAATTAAAAATTGTATCTTCGTTCAAGATACAAGTCACTACGGAGTATTATAAATATACTAAAGAGAAAAATCTAATATAAGATTTAAAGCTAAATATGAATGGTAGCCAAATAACTGTCTTACATTTCATTTTTTTAAATCTATTCACTTGGCACGTTACGCACTCATGTGGTAGTAACGCGACCCTAAATTTGTTTTAGTTTTTTCAATTCATCAATAGATGTCGCTATGACTGTTAGTAAAATTTATAACACGCGCTTACTAAATGCTTGTGGCTTACCATATGTATTCTCAGTGATTTTCGAAAATCATACTTACCTGGCGTAGGGGACACCGTGATCAATAAGGCGGTTCCCCCAGAGCGAGACTCATCCATTGCACTGCGGATGGGTTGACCTCTGCGATTATCCCTAATGTGGATAACTCGGACGCGTAATTTTTGGTAGTGGGGACTGCGTACGCGCCGTCCCCCTCTTTAATTTGTAGTACCATATATGTCTACAGAAATTAACGTTTAAGAATAATCAAAATCGAAATTAACTTAATGTCGTTTTGATAGATTTTAGGTGAAATTTGATAAATGCTGAGTGTATGCCTTTTCAGTAGCACATTGTAGTATTTTTGATGTCTTTTTAATTGTATGTAATCTTGTGCTGCTGAATAAATTTATTTTACTTTTAAATTATAGTGTTCCATTCAAACTTTGAGTTTTTGTAAAATTAACTGGTTTTATCATCCTTTCGATGTTTTACAAAAAAACATCAATGCATCGAGTATATCAATACATCTTCAAGGAATCGGATTCACTGTATCGCATTGTAAACATCGTTGTATATCGATTATCCCTAATAGTTCGAGGTCCGGGTTATAAAAGACCAGACATAATGTCGGGAGATGGCAGATAAAAAATCGACTATGATTGATTTTCAATTATAAAAATAATCGATTATTAATCGATTATTTTAAATATAAAAATCGCGTAAAAAGATTTTTACTTTTTAAAAAATCGATTAAAATCGATTTTTTTAATAATCGATTATTTTTTCACATCCCTACTTGGAACATCTCTGAAAGTCTGAACTGAAATGAATATCAATAAAATTATAATTTAATTTTTATAATAGTAATTACTAATTACTAATTAGTAGATACAAAATTGAAAAAACCTTAATAATTTAATAAATAGTTAAATTTCTTATAAAGACAATGGATTCTTTGACCTCCGCGATTATGCTTTTTGTGGTAGTGGGAGTGGGGCTGCGTTCGCGCCATCCCCCTCTTTATTGATTATTCCTCTATATTATTGTGTTTAGAACATCTCTCTCTTATACTGAACTGGAAATTAATTATGAATTTATTACAATAATAGTAGATACAAAAATGAAAAATCTGTAATAATTAGTTAATTTCCTTTAAAAGAATTAAAAATTACAACGGATTCTTTGAACTCCGCGATTATGCGTTTTGTGGTAGTGGGGACTGCGTACGCGCCGTTATAATTATAATTTATAAATCACAATATCCTACAAATAATAATCTATCTTCTGATCTGTACCACACAGGTAATATTCAGTGTAGTTTGGCTGTTGATAATATACATTTTAAAACATCTTTTATTTGTCAAAATATATAATTACACTAATAAAGCACCACTGCGTTTACAGAAAAAGGCGTAACCTATATATTATTATATTTTAAGTCCCGTTTGTTTTAGAACATGAATTAACCTTTAATTTCACTCTAAATACTGGAACAACGAGAAAATTAGTGATAAATTCAAAAAGAAAATTAAATGGAGGCGAATGGCACAAAATCTGGATCGACTATAACTTCTATCACGTGAGATTTATGCTTAATACAGAGTATCAAATGCTCAACTTATTACTGGAAGAGGAGTTTGGGCCATTTGAAGGGTCTATGTTTATTGGGGGTGCTACTGCGTGAGTATAGTTTATAAAACATATGTGTTTCCATAAGACACTAATTTAATTTCAAAAACTACTTTGCATTAGTAATAATATAAATATATATACAGTCAAAACCGTTTATAACGACATCGTTTACAACGACCTATCGGTTATTACAACCAGATTGTATGGTCCCGTCCGAATCCCTAGTAAACTATTCAGTAAAGAAACCGCTTATAACAACATCGGATACAGCGACATATCGCTTACAACGACGAAAGTTTATCGATATTCATCGGATATAACGACCAACCGCTTCTTGTCTCAGTAAAACAAAACAATACAAACGATTTTAAATTTTATTTATAAGCATTGAATGAATATTTAGGCATATTATTACCTACGCACTTTCTCCCAACGAACAGTTTCAACCAACAACGATTTCCGAGGCTCTTAACGCTGTAACGATTTTGCAAAAATTTGTTGCCTTTAACGAACAGTTTGATACTGGTGATACTCATACCTTGAGGAGTATGAAACGTAAAATGCAAAAAATATTTGAGACTGGGCTAAAAAAAACAGACTGACTGATTACTTTTGTACCTAATTATTTCGTAATAAATATTTTTGTTTCTTTTTTGACTCGTTTACATATTATAATATTAACATACCATATTATAACCCATACCTACCTATTCTAGATCGATAACTATGTACATACATATGTACTGTACTTGTGTACACGACATTGCTTATAACGACTATCGGATATAACGTCGGCAACTATACGGTCCCTTCAATGTCGTTATAACCGGTTTTGACTGTATGTATATATATACAGAGCGTACCAGTTCTTAAAAGGCCGGCAGCGCGCTTGCGAGCCTTCTGGCAGTGCGAGTGTCCATGGGCGTCGGTATCATTAAACATCAGATCAGCCTCCTGCCCGTCTGCCTCCTGTAACATAAAAAAAAAGAAAAAGGAAACGAAAATGAAAACCTACTTTAGTTAAAACAGAGCAATTATATTAAGATGTTTGAAGGGACAGGTTACGCTTCTAGACTAGTGTTTTCCATTTTTTGATTATTAAGGGGGAATATCGAAAATCGACTCGACGTTTTTCATTATATTTTTTACTATTTACTACTGAATTTACTATTGAATTCTTCCTTAAACTTTTTATTTAAGTTTTTTAAGAGTACAATCTATTGTTAATATTAAAATCATGTATGTTACATAGGGGGGCATAAGAATTTTAGAAACGCTAAGGTTGAGTATGGCACACAAAAGTCGACAAATTATTATGTAAAACATAGGTTTTTGAATCCTTTGTAACACTTCTTGTTCTTACAAATACAATCAAATTATGTATCCCTTCGTTTTGAACTTATACTCAAATAAATATTTTATTAAGCAAATGTAATTAACGATTAATCAATGAGTTCATCGTAGAGAAATTTTCAGTGATCATCTTAAAAAGTCGGCAGTTAATCAAGGACTAATCGGCTGCTTTAGAGGCTTGGTCGTAAATGGCGAAATCCTAGACATCTATAGTTACATGTCCGTCCATTTGTCTGAAATTATAAAGGATTGCAAGCCTTCATGTGTGCCAAATCCTTGTCAAAATAAAGCCATTTGTAAAGAACTTTGGTCCACTTATGAGTGTATCTGTAAAAACCGCTGGGCACATTTGGGAGCTCACTGTGAAGAAAGTAAGTGTGATTGAGACAAAGTATATGCTAATAATAACGACATAGAAAATTACTAACATACAGCCGTACATTTAAGCCGTGCTTTTAATTATTTCGATCCAAGTTATTTAAAATTTATTTTACAAAATTTACTGCTTATTTAGAGTACTCGTACGAGTAGATGTACACTAGCTTAACTAATCGTTAACTAAGATAAAGAGTTAAGACTTTGTTGAAAGTAACCGTTTTGTAAAAGTAAGGTCGGCAACGCACTTGCGAGCTTTCTGGCAATGTCTCCTTTGTTGGCCCCTTGTTATATAAAAATAAGTACCCTTTATATGGCTTAGTAGATACCTACTATTTTTGTTGTTCTATTTCGTAAACACTTGTTTGCATCCCTTATTTATTTTATTTATGAATGTTCTAGAGACATTAATTTAAATTATTAAAAAACTTTGTAACTTTTGTATCTTATTATATAAAAATATTATAATTTTGCTAGATATTAACGAAAAGGCGTTAACATTTCAAACAAAAGAAGCATATCTAAAGAAAAACTATTTAGTAGACAACGAGACAGAAGCCGAAAAGATAAGGCTGAAGAAAATGATGGTAGAAAACGTCCTAATGAACCTTAGAACGTACGACGACAACGCATTAGTACTGTATGCTAATGATAATCTTAATAATTTCATACATTTATTCATACACAATGGCACAGAAATAATATATTTATTCAATCACGAAGACGAAATTATTGAAATGAATGTCACCCACGAGAAAATAAATAAAGGGGAAAGTGTACAGATTGCTATTATAAGAACTGATAATAGCACTACGCTACATGTTAATGATAAGAATACAACAATTGATAAAGTTGCCAAGCTTTTGTCGAATTATACGAACAAGCCGTGGAAGAATCCGGATTTAGGTAAGTCGGTTACTTTGAATTATAGAAACTAATTTGCTTCTTGATTTAACGTAAATAAGGGAAAAGAATAGAATATTTTTGTAATTTCTACTTCAATTTAAAAAACTTGTAATCGACGCAATCAAATAGTTGCGCTCCCTGAACTGCACCATACTGTTGCCGTAATTCGTGCGATTTTTGGTAATACATTGTAGCTTCCTCGCCTCGTGACCCGACTGCTTACGTTTTTTATGTATAATTAGATTAATATAGACACAGTTAGAACATTATACGTACATGAGAACACAGACACGATATCTTAACCAATTTTGGATGTCAAGAGGTGTGTCATTAAGTATTCTTGCTGTTTGTGTTCTATGATTAAATTGAAATAAAGCTTTTTAATTTTATTTTGCATAGTTTGTAGTTAAGCCAGCCTAGTTTTTATTTAATACGATAGAGCATTGCGGTATATGGTGATATTGCGCCGGACAGGTGACGTTATATGGAAGAGGGATTATATTGCAAGATAAAAGTAGACAAAAAAATAGAAAATTTTAACATGTCACAAAATAATTTTTACTATTCAAATCCACGCTATTTGTTTGTATTTACATTTAAAATATGACTTATTCAGTCAGATTGTAAAACGTTGCATAATTACTGCTACATTATGTTATCGTTGCTCTAAATTAAAATAGATTAATTTTAGTATTCATTTGAGAATTAATGAGCGTGATTCGACATTACGAAGAAGTAAATCACGATTTCTTAAAATATTATCGTGTTTCCGTTTTCCGTTCTAAATACATATTGTTTATCTAATTCATAATTTAATTGCAATAGATATAACCTTTCACCACCTTAAATTAATTATCAGGTATACAGCTTGAACACACGTTCAAGCTACTGGGTCAGTAACCCCCCAAAATGGCTAAGTTTTGCATAGGCGAGCACAAACTATTCTATAGTGATTACTAATTATTCGTACTTCGTTATAATTTTATCAGTTTATGACAGCTTAAAAGCACAGATTTTTTTATATTTAGGTATAGTATCACATATTTTTTGTACTCTTGGCTCCCTTCCGTTTTAGAGTTTCATACAAACATTTATTGTTCTTGTAATTCTACGATTTGCGCTTTTATTGTTCTTTCACATAAACCTATCTTATTTTTATATTTTTTTAAGTTTATTTTCTAATTCAATCGATTTAATTTTAAGAGGTAATTCGTCCACAAAGGCCTCCAGCACCACCGACAGATTACTTCCAAATGAATCTTGGAGGATATGACCAATTTTCCTTACACCTTGCACCAAGAGCCACAATTCTTCCTCAAGGTGGCTATGTGGGATGTGTTAGAGGCTTTAAAATCGCTGACCATGTGGTTGATTTACCAATGAAGGCTCAGCAGAATATTGACCAAGGTATAAAAAAATATTAAAATGTTTTTTTAACATTTGTTAATTTCAGTGTTTGTTTAATTTGTTAATTATTAAAATTAAATTTGTTATAGACTAAAACGTGATTAATTAACGTCAATCATTACGTTGATTGTGAAACGTTGCTATATTTTTATTACTTTTTGCATACAATTAAATACACAAACTTCAAAATCATGGTGCAACGGGCTGTCGCTACTAAGCGATTTCGTCCTGGCAACCTTAATAAAAGAAAACAGTAAAAAAACGTAAAATAATAAAACACCTCTTAGATCTTCTTTTGTTTAGATACAGCATTTCTAGAAAAAGCTGTTGGGTAATATAAAAACTTTTATATCAGATCTTACTGGTGTATTACCGGAATGCAATATGAAATGCGATTCTGAACCGTGCAAAAACGGTGGAATCTGTACCGAGGACTTTACGAACCAGGAGAGTAGCTGTGACTGTGATCTCACCAGTTACTTCGGGGAGTATTGTATGGAGGAAAAGGGGGCTGATTTCAACGGCGAGAGTATTTTGGAAAGGAAATTTGTATTGCCACAGACTATAAATAAGGTATTTTATGTGCACACATTTCTGTTATCTCTTAAGGGAAAGTCAGCTGCGGTTCAAATGATTGTTTCGCAGGAATTAATCTACAAAATATTTTGCACAAGTATTATAAATCTATTAAATTATTAATAATTAATTTAACAGATTACATATCTGTTGAATTGAATGGTTTTCATAGATAAAGCTAAGATAACACTGAAGTATTTCCGAACCAATTCGGCACAGGGTCATCAAGAAAAGCCCCAATTCTTAAAAGGCCGGCAACGCACTCGCAAGTCCTCTGGCATTGAGTGTGCCGGTATCACTTAACATCAGATGAGCCTCCAGCCCGTTTGCCCCATGTTTCATACAAAAAATATAAAAATATGTAGCGCATTATTTACAGTTATTGCTTATAATATCACATAACGATAAGTGACATTAAAAAAAAGACTAAATCTTTTCGTAGGTAAAAATAAAGTTAGCGTTTTCAAGCAACGATTTACGGCAAAAGAATACTGTATTGCTACTGGTCCAAACTGAAAATAAGTAAGTGAAATGTATTCTTTAATAACTTCTAAGAATAATTACATATATTATTAAATAAATGTATTTATTTCTTTAAACTTTTAGAAGAAGTTATTATCTCTTAGTAGCAATTACTCAAGACGGTTATCTCAAATTTGAAGAAGACCGCGAAGATTCAGCATACGGTGCGGAAGTTAAAAACCGGAACTTTTTAAACGGTAAAGATTTTATTTCGACGCCATAATTTGGTAATATACTATTTCTTTTGCAAACATTTTTGGACTCTCCGATTATGGGCGGATCTGAGGGGGAACATATCCCTGCAAAACCCTGTCTAGACCACGGGGTTTTGCATGAGAAATTTAAGTTTGCTAATTGTTTATGGAGGCAAGAGTATATATAAAAAATACTAATCATTCTATCTGCCTACAGTCTTATTCATAAGAATTAAGGAACGCGATTCCCGTATCCGCCCATGCGATACAAGTTCGATAATAGTAAAAAATACTTTATATTTCACTAAACATAAACTCGGTTCTTACCCGGAACTCTTGCTATGAAAGGCATGTATAGTCAGTCTAGAACACTATTCAACCTACTTCAAAAAAGGAGAAGTGCAAGGATCGATTTGAAATGTATTTTTTACGCATTAGTTTCATAAATAATACACAAACCCATATATACTAGTTTAATTTATATTTAAAAAAATCTAGGAGCCCGGCACACAGTTTACTACACACGAATAGAAAATGAGACGAAGCTATTGATAGATAGAATAGAGATACCACTAGAGAAATTACAGCCTCAGGGTCTGTGGGAAGTAGTGGATATTGGGACCAATGAGGTGCAAATTGGGGGACTTAATACTTCGGATCCAAGACTTAAGATCTTCAAGGGATATAATGGATGTCTTTCAAGTAAGTACACAGAGTTTGGTTGCCGTACATTTCTAGGTCAGGTTCAGAGTCGAAACTTATCGAATAGTATGGGCCCAAATAGCTGACATACGGAAGCCATACTTACTGCCAAGTGTCAAATCTCTGACGTCGACGTGACGAAATCACGAAGTTTTTATTATCTGTACGAACAAATGTCTATTGAGCTATAGAGTAAAGAATTAATTAGTAGTTATTCATTTATACCGCTTTTTTGGTGATACAAAAACAAGTCTATATTGTATACAAAAACACTTTGGGTTACAACCCGAATGTGTGTGCTCCATAGCATGGGAGTCTGCGAGAGTTCATATCCTAACCATATCCTATCCTGCTCAATCGTGACTTTTGTAATTCATATATTTTATTTGGTATTGCTTTGTGAATTGTAATTTATGAACCATAAGTAGCTTACTTTTAGTTTATTTTATTATTTTATTTTAGATTAAGTTTGGTAATTGAACTTAAACATTTAATCATGCTACACTGTACAATTTTCTTAACCTACAAAGTAATAATAACAATTATTAAAAAGAAAATTAAAACAAATTTAAAAATAATTTACCTAACTTATATTTTTTGTTGATTTGGTTATGCACTTTTAGGACTTTACCCTAAATATTTCTTTTTTCTTGTCTTTTTTTTCTTATTAGGGTTGCCTAGTTAGCGATAGGCCGTCCGTTGCATCCTTAATAGTTTATGTTACTTGTTTTTATTTGTAACGAAGTTTTATAAAATAAATAAATAAACATTTCAGATATTTTAGTACAAATAAACGAATACGAAATGAAGCCTTTAGAAGAATACATGTTGTTCACTCGCTCTGACTCAGAGACAGTGAATGCTGTAAATGCTCAGGGTGTCAGAAGCGCACAATGCTCTGCAGATTTTGATGAAGCTTGGCCGGAACACGATCAACTAGGAGCCACGCATAATGGCAGTTTCCTTATTGTAAGTCAAAAATGGTTACAATAACCCGTATTCCAATTAGTATCAAATCAGAATCTCGTTTGCAGTATTGCCATAGAAAAATAGTATATCTTGAGTTTATATTATACTTCTAGAGTTCAGTCAAATAAAAAGTAATAGCATAAATATTGTTGTACCCAGTTGTGTAATTATTGTGATTTTAAAAATACTATGTAAATCTCTAACTAATTCACGGAAAAAGTAATATTGTATGATATTTTATAATATTTTCGCAGAGTGTTGACAAAACGTGGGTGGAAGACCCACCATCGCGTCTCCCCTTCGATTCCATTCATACACAACCTGACGCTGAGGAAGAAAGTACTGACAGGATATTCATTGCTCTAATTGTAATATTCGTTTGTTGTCTCTGCTATTGTGGTTCACATGTGAGTATACTACGACTTGACGGTATGGTTTTATTACTTGAGCCTAAAAAGAGCGATAATAAAAAAGAGTATACGAACTTATTTTAGTTATTAGTACTCAGCCTTCTCATAAGATTAATTTTATTGAAGAATTAATTTTATTAAAGAATATTTTTACTAGAATTTTTAGTCGAATACGATTTTGTTCGTCTTTGTTTACGATGAATACCTTGAAATATCATAACAGTTACTATACAAACAAAAAGAATGTTAATAATACGTAATATTTTACTGATTAAATACTTAATAAATTATGATTCCCACTATTAGGTTGTGAGTTTTGAAGTATCAATTATTTTAATATGACTAACCAAGAACAAAAAACTTTTTTGTTGCACTAAATCCAACAAAATAAAGATATTGGTTTATCCGTGACAGCCACCGCCTTACCGCATGCGCAACGACGAGCTCGATCTCGGCCATGTTTTGGGCTATGGCGCCATATGAAATATGAATTGCGAGTTGTAAATATGTGCCGAATATCGTACTTCATAGTTGCGTTGAATTAAATTCTAAATACGCAAATCTAATTCTAAGCAAACAATTCATGTTCTAATCCATTGTAAAATGACTTTACGGATTTATAACTTTAATGCCTTCATGAAATACACACGCAACAAATTCCCTTTTTTTATTTTTTATGTATCTTATATTTTTCATAGATGTGGCGAACGCAAAAAGCTTACAAATTGCGCTTAGAAAAAGAGACCGACGAGAACATATTACGAAATAAAGAGAAGGCCACTAAACTACAAGAGCCTAGTGTATCATTCCTACAGGTAATAGTAATTAATCCAAATAATTTTATATCGAAACTACAGATATTACGCACACAATTTTTTATTAAATTTTTTTACGACAATTCCCATTTGAGGAATATGTCCTTACTTTTATTAATAAAGAGCAATTAATAATATATCAGAGAACAGTGATAGACATATAAAGTTGGTAAAATGACGCTCCCTAGATAAAAGATAATAGAATAGATATCTTTGTTGTTATAAATAAACATAATAAATTAACTGGAACCTATCGCTTATGTGGCTTGATAATGCACACGGACATCGTGGAACCTCTGGGTTCGATCAGACTAAACAATTGTTACAACTTGATAGACACAGAATCAACAACATTTTATGAACCGAAAAATATACCTATATTTCCTATTTTAATATCGATTTTAATAGTTGAAAGAAGAGACTGAAAAAGAAGGAGATAAGAAATCAAACGGTGTCGTCATAGATGTGGTACCGACTATAATAGTTGAGGCTAACGAAGAGAAAGAGAAACCACCAAGTAGGAGAGGCTCACTGAGATTTAGAGGTAATAAATCTCCACACCTATTGTACCTTTACACTATAGATTCACAGTAGATTATTTGCGATTGAGGGTATGACGTCAAAGCTACAGCCTGAAAGAAATTACGTGCTCCAGGGTTTGACAGTTGTGTTTGATAATCATTTTTTTTAAACTAAACAGATATGGTGGACAAGGAAATAGCGTGGGTGCCGTTAGAGGAGAAGGATGAGACATCTGACAATGATGCTGATGAGAGCTCGGAGGATATCAACGATTCGGAAGATGAGGTATAAACGGACCTACCTTTTTCATTTGTAACGTTTATTGCATACTTCAAAACTTATGAAACAAAAAAATGTGTAAGCTAAGCGAGATCAAGATATATTTGCTTAAAAAAAACTTCGTTAAACCAATATAATTATTTAACTATGTTATTTTTTAGGATAATCCAGACGAAATTAGGAAAGTGCGAACATTACAGTTTAAAATGGATGAAGAATCTTCTGTTGAACTAACATCGAACGCCTAATAAAAAGCTTTACTAATACGAATTTGCTTTTAATTTTTGTAATTTCATATACAGTAACATTATAAAATACCTGTTCAATGAATAAATTGGTATAGTTGTCGAGAAAGAATAGGATTTCCCCTTAGCTGCTTTATGGGGAAGGGGGCAAGACTTTTCTTCGACATGCATTTATATACCACTACTCTGTGCGTTTCTGAATATTTTAAAAGAATATTACATTTAATAAAGAAGTAACCAATATAGCTGTAGTGTTTTAAATAGCCGTGTATAGAGAGGGTCGTGTACACACTTAAAATTTTAGATTGCTAAATAATTCATTCGACAGACTAACTTATGAAATACCTCTGTGTAGTTGGCGTACTCATTTTCGTTGAAAGAATATCCATTAATATAGGTCTACCAGGATCTGATGGCAAAAAGGGAAAAAAGAAATTGACGCTAGCAATACTGGGGAAATTGGAGTAAAACGTTTTGATACTTTTTTCCTTATAGCGGCTGATTTTGTGTGTGATAGTCTGATTGTGTGAGTCGAATGGGGTTCGAAACTTAGATGAAAACTCAAATTACTCTGTTCATGAGTTTATTAATTAATTAAGAACTTGAAAATGGTGCCAAATACTGCACATCCATAAAAAAGTCTTCATCGGAAGAGGAAGACGTGGAAGACGCAGTATTTATGATAAACCTTTCCTCCTGCATCTCAATTAACCGATCTTGTTCTATGAACTGATTTTCAATTTTTATTATATGTTCACAAGATTTTCGCCATTCATCGATCCCTATTTGAGAGAAAGCTTCTTCTGTTAACGATTTTATATCACTTGCAGGTCTATTGACGTTTTTAGCTGCAACTTTTTGTTTCATTATTCCCCAGATTAACTCTATGGGGTTTAACGTACAATGATATGGTGGGAGCCTCAAGACTTCGTGACCGTGTGATTTTAAAATCTCATCTATCTGATACTTAGGTTCAGATTTATGATTTTTCACTGCTTCCAGTAATTGACATTTACGCCAATTATCATCGTAAGGGATATTGTTTGATTGAAGCCATTCTTTTATAACAGCAATACGGTCGGCTTGTGTAGGCGGTTTGTTTAATTGTACAGAATGATACTTGGCGTTGTCCATAACAATTAGAGAAGGTTTTCTAAGGTTGGGAATCAACTTCTCCGTAACCCATTTTGTAAAGTTATCTTTATTCATATCATGGTGGTAGTCGGCAGATGTACTCTTCGACCTATACACCAAACAACAGTTTGGCACAAAACCATTTTCTCCACCAGCATGTACAATGATCCATCTTGGCCCTGCCGAAATACTTTTAGATGGGCCTGCAATATCTTTATTTTGCCAGCATTTGTTTACTGAACATGAACCGTGTATGTAGGTTTCATCTAAATAAACCACATCTAGCTTATCATCGGCTTCTCGATTCTTTTGCATACGCTCTAAATACTTGAATCTGTGTATCTTTATGTCATGTCGCTCCATTAAAATAGTCCTTTTGATTGGCACTTCACGAATTCGAATCCGATGTCTTTCAAAATAAGTCTGAAGACAAAATAAGATTGTTATTTTTAGATTACTATGTTTTTAGATTATATTCAAACTGAAAGAAAATTAAATTCATTTTTGTTACCTTAACGATTCTCTTCCTCCATTGAAATTGATTTCCTCTCGAAGAATTTGTAGCAATTTCATGACAGTGGGTATTTCTTTTCGTACAGTGTAAAACTCATTTATCTTGTTTCTGATCAAAACTAAATCAAAACTATCCAAGTTAATTTGTTTTCTGCCACCTTTCCTCTTTTTACCGGGCGTACTAAATACTCCTCTATTAGATCTGCCTTCAGCAACAATTCGTCTTATGGTAGTATTAGAAACCCCTGAAATAAACCAAAGTTTAGTATAAGAACATAATATTATAATAAACAAACAATTAGATTATAAAAAAGAAACATTTATCAATTTTAAACACACTTATAATGTCTAATATTTATCTTTAAACATAAATAACAATAAAATACGATACGCATGGATGTGGAGTGATGCACCCGTCCGTTCGCGACAAGGTCCCGATAGAAAAAGGTATGTACAACGGCTCGCTGTGTGCACATCAAAATGGCGGCTTGTAACATGAAGCTAAACACGAATGTCTATGGACAAATGCCACCCTTGCGCCTGTCAGCTTACACGGCCTCTCCTGACACCCTGACGTCCTCGTCAGGCTTTGATATCCCAGCGTCTATACCGTCATTTCTTTGAGTAGGTTATGTAACATCACAGTCCTGGGAAGGTATTGCGTCGTCTGTTTGATCAGCGGCTGAAAATATTTACTTTTTTTTAATACAAACGATCAAAGTAACGAAAGATAAAAGCAACTTTAAAATATCAGACCCCCAAGGAAAAGAGTGAAAGATTATTTATAACCCTAACAAGATTACAAACAAACTATCACTAGCAGGTGTGTAAAGTACTACACAATTACAAGTTTAGTATCACCATAGGAGTAGACATAAGGTATAAAAGTCTACTTAATTCTCAAGAAGATCATGAGTTTGGGGCTGGTTACCCTGTCCATTGATCTTTTTACCATTTCTACAGGAAGACCACGAGTTTGGGGCTGGATACCCTGTCCATTGATCTTTTTACCATTTCTACAGGAAGACCACGAGTTTGGGGCTGGATACCCTGTCCATTGATCTTTTTATCATTTCTACAGGAAGACCACGAGTTTGGGGCTGGATACCCTGTCCATTGATCTTATAGGATCTCGACAAGACCGGAAGTTTGGGGCTGATTACCCTGTCCATTGATCTCAGTACATACAGTGTAACCACAGGTGTCATTACAGGAGTAGTCTTACATTTAGCAAACAAGTTCTAGTACCCAAGTACTTACTCAAGAAAAAGGCTGCACATTCTTCAGGCGTCCATTCACCTTTCCATGGTACTATGAACTGAGCTGCAGCATAACTAGCTTTGCCATAAGCTCCAGTAAGTAGTTTCAACTCATAACGGCCATTTTCTAAGACTCTCGTTATCTTATAGGGACCACGCATACCCGGATCCAATTTACCTTTGGATTGAGAGTATTTGATAACAAAAACGAGGTCGTTCACTTGAAAAACACGGGTGGGATGCCGCCTTTTATTAACATACTCATCTTGTCGCCTCTGATTTTGTTTAAGACGTTCGGCTGTCCTTTGTCTGTCAAGCTCTCGCAGGGACTGTCTATCAGAACTCGAACAGTCTACAGTGACATCGCGAACCAAAGCTTGTATTGCAGGAGTAGTGCCCTCGGTACCTACTAAGAGGTTCAACGGAGATGCTTGAGTAGTCTTCTGTCGAGTGATATTAAGCACAAGTTGCAGGCGCCATAACTCCTCAGACCACTCGCTTTTCTTGTGATTTACCTCTATCCGCAACATGTTAAGTAAGGTACGGATATATCTTTCAACCTGGCCATTGGCGTGGTGCATTTCGGGTGTAATATGATGTATTGAGCACCCTAATTCGTTAATCCATTTGACAAAATGAGTGGATTCGAACATACGACCTCTGTCAGTAACCAAGAGAGACGGGGTACCAAATAAAGAAACAACATTTTTAAATACTTGCTTTAACTCTTCAAGGTCTTGTTTACGCATGGGATACAAAAGACAGTATTTGGAGAAGGCATCAACCACCACCATGACGTGCTTATAACCGTTCGACTCTTGCAATGGGCCTAACACATCCATATGAAGGGTATGAAAAGCAACATCTGGTTTAGTCCACGAAGTGATAGGCTGTAACGGAGCTCGCGGAACTCTTTTATTGGCCATACAGGTTAAACAATGTCCTACATATTTTTTAACGAACTGTTGCATATTAGGAAACCAGAAATGTTTTAATATTAGTTCTGTCGTTTTATATACCCCTATATGGCAATTTTCATTATGAAAGATTCTCAGTAAACTAAGCCGATGCCCTTTTGGTATATAACAAAGTAAGCGTGATTGTTCCCCTACCGGTGAGTAACGATAGTAAAGAATATCATTGTTTTTAAAATTTCGGCTCGCATCTATTTGGCAATCATTCAATTGATCAATTAACTTTCGCGTTTCTTCATCACCTAATTGCGCAATCTGTGCCCAATTACGCGGCTTATCAATGCTATTCACAATACGGATAGGATTGCGGCTGAGGTAATCTGCGTGGGGCATCAAAACACCTTTACGGTAAACAATGGTGAACGTAAAATCTTGTAGATATACCCACCACCTCGCTACCCGGGGTAACAGGTCCTTCTTATTTTGTGTAGCTTTTAGGGCATTGCAATCAAACACAACTTTGAACTCTATACCAATAAGATAGTGGCGAAAGTGACGCAACGCTCATACCACAGCTAATGTTTTCAATTCATAGGAGTGGTACCGTACCTACGGCCCAGTCGTTACTTGGCTGTAGTAGGCAATCAGACTTTTACTACCGTCTCTATGAATTTGTAATAGGACTGCACCGTAACCCTGGCTACTAGCGTCTGTATGGACCTCGGTCAACAAAGTAGGATTGAATATGGCAAGAACCGGCTCGCTGGTTAAGCACTTAATGGTATCAGCACGAGCTTGTTTCTGTTCCTCGCCCCATTTGAATTCGACATCTTTTTTAGTTAATCGCGAAATACACATGGTTTTAAAAGCATAATTTTCAACGTACTTTCTAAAATAGCCTGCCAATCCTAAGAACTGCCTAACCTGACGAACATTTTTAGGTTCCGGAGAATTTATTAATGCCGCTATTTTAGATTTAGATGGACGAACCTCACCGTTAGTGATTGTGCGTCCTAAGTACTCTACTTCGGTGTTTAAAAACGAACATTTTTTCATATTTAACGAGAACCCAGCATCCGTTAAAGTCTGTAGAACATGACGTAAGATGTGTAAACCGGCATCAACGCTTTCGCTTATCAATAAAACGTCATCAATGTACACTACTACGGTACCATTATTTATAAAAGATCGCAGCGTATCACTAATGATACGCTGAAAAACTACAGGCGCATTTGTCAGTCCAAAAGGCATCTTTAAATATTCGTAATGCCCTTCAGGTGTTACGAAACCCGTAAGGGGAATGGAAGCTTCGTTCAGGCAGATCTGATAAAAACCAGAAGCCATATCTAGGGTTGTGAAATATCTGCCCTTTCCTAAGCGGTCAATATGATCCTCAATTAGTGGCAAAGGGTACCTATCTTTTATTGTGATTCTATTCAGTGCCCTAAAGTCTACACACATGCGGTCAGTACCGTCTTTCTTCTTTATTAAGAGTATAGGACTCGCGTATGCTGACTCCGACTCACGTATTATGCCTTTAGATAAAAGATCCGCAATGATTTCTCGAACTTTTAGCTTTTCATTGAACGACAATCTATACGGCCTATAGTATATGGGTGCATCACTGTTTAAACGAATGTGCATGCTACCAGTAGTCACAGTCGATGTAGCAGTTCCAGTAATCATAAACTTGGTAAACTCATTCAAAATTTCAACTAATTTTTCGTAATCAGTACCGACTATCGACGTCCTAATAGCATGCTCATCCGTGTCTACCGCCGAAACTTTCGCAGAGACCGGACTATAAGTTAATCGTTGGCATCCCCCTGAGCGGACATATACCACTCCTTCGCGATTCAAAACATCTGTACCGATTATGATTGGTGCGTTCATACTATCACTAGGCACTACTAAAAGATCCACTTCAAGACTAATTTCTTCAAATTCAATAGTGAGAGTTACGTAAAAGAATACACGAGTGATAGAGTGACCAACACCTTTTAATTCACGATAAGTAGGATTTGAAGAACACGACAAGTAGTTAACTACTGCTTGAGAGATAAGAGAAACGTCTAAAGCGCCACTATCAATTAGAACGTCAATGGGTATCCCCTGGACTACGCCGACCATTACGTCTTTAGAATTACGACTTTTAGGCGGAAAGCAAAAATTTACGTCCGCCTTCCTTTGATCTGAACGCTGTTTAGCAAAGCAATCCTTATTATGATGTCCTATTTTTTTACAATACGCACAAATAGTTTTCGATTCCAGGTTAACATCGCTATTAGTTGCCTTCGCACTGGTGGAGGGTATTACGGACGCGCTAGTATGATTTTGCTTCGCGCTTGCCGATTGTTTTTGTTTTGAACGACAATTTATTTGTTTGTGACCCGTTCGACCACACGAAAAACATTTAAGCGGAACACTCGGAACATGCCGTTTCAAAGTAAGAGACTTGTCGTAACATCTATCCTTATCGGAAGTCCAACGCTTTTCTGATTTACTCGGGACGGGCTTAATGAAAGTAGCTAAGTAATTAACTAACTCAGAAGGCTTCAAATTATGATTTGTAGCAGAGGCTTTAATATGAGGATCAGTAATACCACGTATAACTATAGCACTAATAAGTTCGTCACTCAAACCTTGAACTACCCTTAAACGCAATAAAGAACGACGCGCATATTCGGCGTACGTAGCATAACCATCGGAATTCGTGCTCATCACCTCATATAAAATATTTGCCACATCAATCTTTTGGACACAAAGGGACTTAAAATCGTTTTTAAAATTACTCCATGTTCTATCAGACGTGACCCAATCGTCCAACCATGATTTGGCATCACCCTTTAGGCAAAATCCAATACGCGATAAACACTCGGAATCGCTCCACTTATTAAGAACCTGTGCCCTATCTACCTCCGCGAACCAACAATCGACATCGTGCACATTAGGGTCGAAATTCGAAACATAATAATCACGTGAACTACCCCACTTTAAGGATTGAATTGCTTCTACGATTTTTTCAGTAGATCCAGGCGTAGACTGGACAGGCGTTTCTGCATTGTACTCCGTCGTTATAGTAGACCTATTCTCTAACGCACCTAATCGCGTCATTATTACGTGCAATGACTCGCGCAATTCCGATCTGCGTGTCGAACCACGACGACGACGTTTATAATCACTATCACCACTCGTAATCGATTGACTACGTGACCGCCTACGTTTACCCATTTTTGTTTTAAATTCTCACTAAAACATACGACACTGCAATACACAAAGTTAAATACTAGACATTAACAGTAATCACTAATAGTAATAAAAAGAGAAAAAAACAGTTGCGGGCTGAAAGAGGTAACAGATCCCAATTCTGATATAATAAACAAACAATTAGATTATAAAAAAGAAACATTTATCAATTTTAAACACACTTATAATGTCTAATATTTATCTTTAAACATAAATAACAATAAAATACGATACGCATGGATGTGGAGTGATGCACCCGTCCGTTCGCGACAAGGTCCCGATAGAAAGAGGTATGTACAACGGCTCGCTGTGTGCACATCAAAATGGCGGCTAGTAACACGAAGCTAAACACGAATGTCTATGGACAAATGTCACCCTTGCGCCTGTCAGCTTACAATATAATATTAACGAAAAATCCAATAAACCAAAGTATCAAGAAGTGTCATTCCTACTAACCAGTCAACGCTTGCACATGGTTCAATATCGATGATTGTGTATGTTCTGCACCTTGTTGATCAAGTATTCTTTGATAAACATTGAAAACAATACTTCTTGCTTGCGATCGAAGAGGTTTCTTCGACATTTTCACCACTTTTTAAAGGAAATTTGAAGCCAAAACAAAAACAATTCCTCGAAATTTCAGTTGACAACTGAATTTTTTTTTTTGTTGCCATATGAAAATCGCTAATTTTTAAAAATTTTTTTTGCCATCAGATTCTGGTAGACCTATAGTCGCAGATATTTCAGAGATTTTCTCGCCATCGTAAATTGTTTATTTAAAATATAGAAAACTATAATAATATCTGTATCTTGTCTTTTCGGATGACTAAAATCTATATGTCAGTTGTCTATGATAAAGTACTTGTCAAAATAAGCAAAATTACAAATTTGATTATAGAAAAATTGTGATTTTAAGTTGTCACAATATGGATGAAATTGAAAAAGAAAAGATATCGGCTTTGCCATCGCAATTACTAGTCACTACAATATGCCACCCCATGGAGTATGCAAAGGTTTTGATTCAATTGGGCTACGAACCCTTACCGCCGCGCCGATCAACTACTCTGTTTGGAAGGCCTGCCATGATATTACCTAATGTTTTTCAATACATTAAGCACATTAAGAAGTCAGATGGTTTCTTTGGATGTTACCGAGGCCTTTCAGCTAGAATACTTGGTTTGGTCGCCTCCAGTCAGCTATCCTCAAAGGTAATTTATGTTTGTGGCATTGACTTGCCCGAAATGAATGATCCTCCTAACATTGTCAATGATGATGAGCCTAAATTTGAAGACTACTATAAGTTAGCTCGTCGTGATATGATTATGCACAGTGCCTCTGTTGTAGTTTCCTATCCTTTTCATGTGGTTACCGTAAGAATGATGGCTTCATTTGTTGGTAAAGAAGAGGACTACAGCTCTTTAATAGGAGCTATTGTGTCAATATATAGGGATGATGGTATACTAGGATTCTTCCATGGTATAGTGCCTAAATTGCTGGGTGATTTGGTTTGTGTAACCATTACTGGCGTTCTGGCATATTATGTCAACAAATATCTTGTAAAGACTAAGGACCTGAGATACTATACTGTACCTTTGCTCACTTTTATTACAAGTACTATTACTTATCCCTTGATGGTTGTCTCCACTTGTATGGCTGTAGTGGGCAGTAGTCTTAAGGCTGGAAACCCACCTGCTATGCCTAAGTATCCTTCATGGCAAGCTTGCTGGAAGGATCTAGTAAGAAATAAGCAGCACAAGAGAGGTTCGTCACTAATCTTTAGATACTACATTGCTCCAATTGCAGCAATGCAATAATTTTAAAACGTGACTAAAAATGCATTTATCTGTATTTATTCCCTGCATAAGTGTTGTTCCACATTCACCAAAGTAGAGATTTTGACTTCTTGTAGAGAAATGTGTACATTTATTAAATGTAAATAATGTAGTATTAATAAATGGTGTTCTATGTGGATTCTTCTTTTTAATATGTTGTTGAAGGTGTTATTATATTTCAATAAACATTTTGTTCCTCAATGGTTTATGATTTCTAATTAAACTTCAGGGTAAAAAATAAAACAATTTTTTTTTTAAACTTACAACATTTATTTCAATTTTGTCAAAGCTTGTATCTTAATAAATTCATCTACTAAATCTGTTTTTAAAGTAGCAATGGCTCGTCTATGGATTTGTGGGACAGCCTGGGCATTACCATTTTGAGATTCAAACTCCATGTAATCTAACCAAGTTTGAACACTGTCTTTTCCATGTTGTTGTACTTGGCATTCATAACATTTTCTTGCAGATTTTAAATTAGGTTTATCCTGTGACATTTCTATATCAACCATAATTTTATGCAATTGTAATTGTGTTGGTGGCGTTTTAATAAAATCTTCATAAGCATCTCTAGCCGACTTCAAGCCATTATGTTCATAAATCTTTTGTAAAAACTTAGGTTTCAAAGATAACACAACTATGCTCTCACAAGATTGAAACTTTTTGTATACATTTTTGAACTGAAAGCAAAATATAGTTATAACATAAATAACAATAGCTTTGCTTCTTTTACAATGGTGGATAGTATCTTAAATATATGAATACAATATTTTTACACATAGAAATATGCATTTTACTTACAACTACAGTTGATTCTATATTTTCCAACATAAAATTCCACAAATGCAATAAATCATCCCCCTTCATTGTTTTACAAGCATCTTGCAGTATAGATAGCATTTTACTTTCATTTGATTTATTTAATAACAACTTTTCTTCCCATAATTCTTTAGATTTAGGGATCTTTACCAGTGCTGTATCCAAGATCTAAAATTGATTCAATTATATGACAATGTTGAATCCCTGCACCAATGAAGTTCTCCTATGTGTGCAATCACTCTTGCTCATTGGGTGAAAGAAAACCTTATGAGTCTATACCCCATTGTAGGTAGGGTTATTGGACTTGGGCAAAATAGTGTATGTATTAATTACAAGTAAAGTTCTAGTTAAGTAAAAATTTAATCAAAAAGGTTTTATTAAAATTCCGTTAATTGAAAAATGTTGCAATAATTTGTAATACTTGATTTTCATGAAAATATTTAACTATTATTGGCAAAAATTGTTATTCATTTCAGTCATTGTTATTTTATTTAAATTTTTTTAAACTAAATTTTGATTAAATAATCTAGATAGACACTAACCTCAATAAAATCATCTTTTGATATTTCGTCTTCTAGTTTTAGAAAAGATATCCCAAATGTGTACATATCATTTGATAATAATCCATTTTCATGGCCATAAGTCCATGCGTGTTTTACAACATTTATCTTTTGGGTATCTGTACAAATACTATCATTTAATCCCAGTAACTGGTGAATGTATTTTGTACATAACTTTTCATCTGGAAACTGAAACATTTATTTTTTTATGGTAAATGTTTCAGGCTATAGAAGTAGTTTGGTACTTTTGTGAAATGGATAGTTCAAAGTAAAAATGTAATCAAATATTTTGGATGTCTTTAAAAGCTCATAAATAATTCATCAACAATGAAAGAAACATTTCACAAATATATACAATATTTCACCAGTAAGCGGCCAAACAACTTGTAGCCATATAACCTCTTTTCAATAGGAGAAGGAATATATAAAATTACCTGTTGCAATGCCTCTTCATAGACAGCAATACAATATCTCAGCTCATTAGAATAATGATTATCGTCTTCAACAAACTGTTCTATTTCACTCCAGTGGTAACCCTTTACACAGATTATAACAAAATATTTAATTGGTATTCAATTGAAATATTTAAGCGACAACATAATACAGTGATTCTATTTTATAATAGTCTGCATGTAACTTTTTGCATGAGAGAAGAATGTGTGCTTTAGTTATTTCAGTAGCAAAACTTCAAGTTTGGCTGGAGCTATTAATGGACTCGTTAATGTTTCACTTCCATTCCAATATTACTAACCGTAACTGGCTACCTACATCTCCTTCATTTAAATTGCCTTAAAGTTTCAAAAGATATTATTATCATTCCTCAAAACCCTTCAATTATTAAAGTGTTCTCATTTTACTGGTTTTGCAATACAGAACTTTTGATAAATAAATAAAACAATGATAATAATTATATATGCATGTTAATAAATACCTCAAGTTCTTTTGATGCTATGTAAACCCATACATTTTTATCCTCTTTTCTATTCCAAACTTCTTCTTGAATACTTTTAATAAGTTCATCATTATTATATTTCAATGATAAATCACAAACTTTAAACAAGAAACTAGAATCAAGAATATTTTTCATACCATTTCTCCAAACCACTTCAGCTCGTTTTAAAAACTTTTCCTGCAAATATAAATTATTGCAATACTTGTAAAGTATATAGAAAATTAGTATCATAATTAGTTTAGACTATAATAGAGCTATGTTTAGTAGATATTAAAAATAAATTCTAATATTGGAAACTGAGATACAGAGATGACTGGTTCTTGACAAATAGAACCCATACTTTGCACTAAGTCTTGACTCTAAATATTGGCCTGAGTTTTTTAACAATGTTACCCTTTGTAATAATGTCACCACTCTGTAATACCTTTTCTTCTTTATTTTCTGCACTATTGGCTATTTTGAGTTCAATTTCAAACAGTTCTAAATATAAAACCTCTGCCTGAGGATGTCTATGAATCCCTTTCAAAAGAAATGAACGAGCTGTATCCAGATTTTTCTTCTCTTTACTCTCCCAAATGCTTGCTAGTTGCCACGTTTTAGGTTTGTCTCCATGAATCTAAAAAATGAATACTTATTGTACAACCCATCAAAACGGATTATATTTTTAAAAGTTTAAATTTATTTTATAAATGTTGAAATACTCACTTGTAGCATTTGTCCAATAATAGCTGACACTGCATAATCAAATCCAACACTTCTACAGAACTTGATATATTCAAAGTATATTTCTACATCATTTTGAAATCGCATTATAAACTGTTTAAAAACTTTGTTTACACGTTTTGCAATAGCATACTCTATTTCTTTACGTTTATCGACTAGTTTAGTTTGCCTTCTACGCAGTGAAATATCTTCAAGAAGTGTTAGTTCATACGTAATATATTTAACAAAGTCGTCTTTTTCTTTAACTCTTCTTTGTATTCTATATTCAAATTCTTTGCGTTTACGCGAAATATCTCTGTAAACGTGAAAATGGAACAGATATATATATATATAATGCTATAGGCAACGTATGTTAATTTTTTAGAAATAAATGTTTTACCTTATTTCTTCATCGTCGAATAATTCTATACGTCGCATTTGCTCCATCTCATTTATCATCCCCTCAATACGTTGATTAACTAATTCAGCCATTTTTAATGTTTAAAATTGTGTAAATACTTCAGAATTATAAATTGAACAACAAAATAACTGTGTAAGTTTACACGAAAGAGGAAGCCAATGTTAATTGTTATCCAATTAAATTTGAGGTTATCTCAGCACGCCTGACTGTTCTGTTTTGTTTACAAGATTATGTCAATTGTCATTTGTCAACACACAGAATACGCTTCTACAGTTGTCAACTAACTAGTAACCATATATTTCAATATTCCTGTCACCAAAGAAAACAGAGGACTATTTTTTATATTGTTATATTATTATGTTAGACCTTAGAAATTAAACAATTAATTGCTGCCTATGGTTGTAACTACCACGCCATGGAAATTCATAAAACATGTTTGAATTTGATTTATCTAGATGCGTTTTTATATAATTGGTATTTATTATACGTCATGTAGGGCGTCCTCAGACTATGGGAATTCAAGGGAATGTATTTTATTTTATTTTGAAAAGTAAGTATTACTGAAGGATTGATTATCTATAAATTTCTTGTCTCGTCTGGGAATCCGACTCAAACGTGAAAAAAACACCCCTTATTTTTTTAATGCCAATCAAGAGAATGGACAAAAAATAATAATTCTTCTCAAGTAACATAGTGCTTGTACGCACAACGGACCAACCTCGAGTCTAATTGCGGAGAAAGGAGTCCTTCAACCCTAACCTAACTAACATAGTGCTTTGAAAGAAAAGAACAACGTAAAATGTTTGAGTCAAATCTCAAGAAAATTATCAATCTGTGTGAATTGTCCCGACATATTATTTATAGCCGACGACGACTCTTGAAAAATAACGACATTACCATTCCATAGATAGCATTTACTTTTATAAATAAAATAAAGTCTTCTTTCTGCAAAATATCCTATATATTTAATGTACCTTCCGTTCAATTCCCATGGTCTTGGGACGCCCTGTATATAGTATTTAATAATTATACCCTTTTTATTTTAGTTTTGTAGTGTATGGTCAAGTATGTACATAATCGAGTTTGTTTTCTATATACGGCGGCTCACCAGTATGTTATGTAGTACGTTGAAGTGGGTGAGTTATACCAAATTTAAGTATCTCACAAACATTGTATTGAATAATAGCGATCCAGTACTAAATTCTAGTCTTTTATTTATTGCCAGGGATTTCTGCTCCGGACGAAAAACCGTCACACGTATGACGTAGTCCTTCCTCGTGAATCATTCTAGATATTGGCGAAACCCGCAATAAATACCGCACACAAGTTTGTGACTTTACCGCGAATAGAGAAAGAGATAGACACAGCGCAGGACTTGTTTTTATGTAATACAAAAGTTAGATATATACAGTCGCTGACTTTTTTATAGGCATTATCAAGTTCTACAACAGTCTTCTAGTACTCAAACATAACTCTCATCCTTATGGCAGTGCTCGTAAGAAACTCTTTTTCGTTCTTTTGTCATACTATGCAAATCCGAGTTCAACAAAAAAATCTTTATAGTAGGTATATCTTTAAATCTTTCTAGCTTAAACAAAACAAAGCATATTTTCTTGATGGCTTCAAAATGTCTACTATTACCGCTTGAAAACGTTGATCCCGTTTTGAAAGAGTGAATGAGTACTATCTGGCGAATGGGCATTAACCAATTTCAGGTTAATGTGATTATCTTATATTTTAGGAAACTTCCTCCAGTAAAATAAGTCTAACAGAAAAACAAAAATTAGTATTTGTTAATAAAAAAAATTAAAACGATTTCAGTTTACATACAGTCGACTCTCGATAATTTGACACTCGTTAATTTGAATCTCTCGATAATTTGAAAAATACTCGATAAATTGAATAAAATCAATGATAATTGGTCCCTTCGGTAATTTGAAGTTGAAAAAGTATTATCTTGATCGCCAACATACGATATTTTGAAATCCGGTCTTCCTATTCTTTGGACAATGATAAATTGAAGTCACTAACTCAAAAAAAGATTACAGACTTCTTTTCGAAATAAAAGTTTGTGAATAATTGTTTATACATTATAAGAATATAGAAATAATAAGTAAAAAATTTTGATCAAATTCTTATTTCCTTCAGTCGCCCCTCCCCCTCGTGGTTATTCAAACACTTGTTATTTTGAACTCTTGATGAATTGAAATTTATCTATGGTCCCTTGAGTTTCAAATTATCGAGAGTCGACTGTATAAGCTTTAATAAAACAGTTGAAATGTAAATTAGATACTGTATTTACCATCACAACGTCGATTACACGAAAAAATATATTTACAAGTCTCAAGATAATTCATAAATACCCGTCTCATAAAATTAGTTGTATGTTTAGGGAAACTTAAATCTCAAAGGTAAAACTAATACGTAAGAAATATTCGAAAATTGGAAATGAATAATTCAGCTAATATTTAAACTAACAAAACTATGTAGAGTGCTTAAACTCTAATGCGCAGCCGACAAATGTCATATTTTCAGAATTTAAAGCAAAATATTTTTATAATCGGTCAATGCACTATAATAGTCTGTGCGTATGACAACAAAACATAGTTACATAATTTCTAATTTGTATTTTAAGTCTTGAGCGCTGTCAATGTCAAAATACATACTTCAAACTTTATACATACAGTCTGTCAGCTCTTATAACTAAATTTAAGTTTGATTGGCGTGTTTACGTGCCTTATTATATATTATTCATATTAATTCTTACTCACACAATCCCTACTATTGACAAATTTCAGAAACATTCATCTATTACGCAATAGTACAGTTCCAACTGTACCTAAATAATATTTATTTTCGTAACATATAAACGTCAATCATCTAGCCGTAAACTTAATTACTCCACCATCACCATGCTCTATAATACCACGTCCTTTGAAGCAATTTAACCAAGTTTTTGAAAATAATTTGAAACTTTCTCGTTCCTCATCCGTTTTCGAGATTGGCGTAACATTAATTTCTGGTATACATCGTCCAAAGTCAATCGCGGGTAGCCATACTTGAAAATCGGAGTCTGGGGAGTATTTAAAAATATCGTGGCAACCCTCGAGGTTTATCTGTGGCACGGGCGGTTGGCGTTGAAGCAATTTTTTTAATGTAATAAATGTAAGGAGGTTGCTTTTTAACGTCACACTTTGTAGGTTTTTGGCTCTGCCGAGAGATCTGGAAGAGATAAATATATTTTTTTTTAAAACTGTGTGTAATTATAAAACATTACATTGTATACTCGAGTCTCAACGTGTATTTATTAACAGTATTATAAAATTAATTTAAGAACAAATTTGTTTTAATTTTCTTTTTATTAATTTTATTATTACAATTTTCTAAACGTACATAACGTTCAGAAAATTGTAAATACTGTATATTTAATTGTTATGTTTACTAATACACTTAAGCATTTAAATGTATATTTAAGAACATAAATAAGATAATTCATCTATAGGACTAAGGGCCGATTCGACCAAACAAGAGTAAATCTTAATCTTAGAATAAATCGTCAGTTAATCGAGAGTAAATCAATTTTACGTTTTACCAACTACAAATTCTAAGAATAGTGGTCTTATTCGGGAATAGCTACTATACCGCCGTTTCGCACGGAATAACAGCTATTCCTAGAATAATTTAATGGCGTCAGTCAGTCCAATTAGCTGATTTCTGTCATTTCACAAATATGTATTCTGTGTTTTAATTTCAAGTCAACGCAACGCACTAAATTAATAGTCTGGCATTGTATAATGAAACGTTTAAACGATTTACACACGATTAAAACACAGAATATTTTTAAAATGATATTACACAAATTTTAATATTTGTGAAATGACAGAAATCAGATGATTGGACTGATTGACGCCATTAAATTATTCTATGAATAGCTGTTATTCCGTGCGAAACGGCGGTATAGTAATAATCCCCGAATAGGCCCACTATTCTTAGAATTTGTAGATGGTAAAACGTAAAATTGATTTACTCTCGATTAACTTACGATTTATTCTAAGATTAAGATTTACTCTTGTTTGGTCGAATCCACCCTAAGGGCGTTCAATGGCCCTGTATCTAAGGATGTCGGGTTTACAAAAAACAGTGGATATTATCAGCAACTTCAATTAGAGACGTTTCGCCTTTTAAGAACCTTGCATTCTTAATTATTTACTATTATTAATTTAATTACTTATATTTCTACCTAATTATATACGAATTAACATTGTTTTTCTCGGACGCTTGGTGGTCCCATGCGAGTTCCTCGATATGTGAATCTGTTAGGCTCCGAGTCGTATGTCATTTTATATGTATCTTATTACTTAAATTTTATAAGTCCTTATTTTTATCATATGTGATAGCGTGTATGTAATTACCTGAATATCCTCATAAACTGTCCATCCACCAATTTACACCCGGACAGACTAAACCTTCTCAGTTTCAATTCTTTAGCCGTATCCATGAAGTTCGCCAAACTTCCCACCACATTCCCTTCCACACCCACATCATTCAATTCCAATTCAACCAACACATTGGGATTGAGTATTGTCAACAAATTACTTAAAACGACTATTTTTAAATCATTATCACTTAAATCGATCACTTCTATAGTATCAAAGTTGATTTGTGAACCGTTTATATCTTTAAGCGCATTATCTGTGATACCACAGTGACTGAGTTTCAGAGATTTAAGTCTTAAATATTGGGTTAGTTTTAAAATTGATTGGAAACCATCATCGCTTATTGTGTTATAACTCAGGTCTATGTCTTCAATGGCCTGACAGGCTGGACGATTTGATTTCTCAAAAATATTAAGCAAAATTTTAACACCATCTCCGGTGAGATTATTTTTGCTAAGATCAATCAATGTCAAATGTTTCATCGTTGAGAGACTTTCGGATAAATATTTTATGGCTTCATTATTGATACTGTTGTTGGATAGCATTAAAGCTGTTATGTGCGTCTGGTGGGTAAGTGCTCGGAACAACGGTCGGATTTGTGATGGGGGAAGTGTTTGTGTGCCGAGGGCTAGACG